CCAACTCCGAGCCACTTTTGACCTGCAGTGAATTCATCAAGTGCACCAATTTCTTCAACACCATCTTGACTCTCTCCTTGTTGCGTTGACGCGTCGTGAGTTTCTCGACGCTGCCGTCAGCTTCAGACGCATGAATTTTCTGCGCAATGCGTTGCAGACCCTGCATCAGCTTGTCACCTATAGTGTACTTTTGTTGTATACTCATTGATGTAAAAACCTTGGTTGTGCGCATCTTGAAAGGCACCTTGAGTTTCTTGTTCCAACTCTTGCAACAAGCTCTCCAACCAAGTCGAATCTGCACTCACTTCCAACGGTTCTGGCTTCTGTGGAGCCACAAGCCATTTCGGCTCCAGGTCACCTGTCTTTCGAGCCATCCAAGCCAGTTCAGGTTTGGCTCCGATGTTGGGTAGCCACTCCAAAGGCAGAGTGCTGGCAGGTGGCAGATACACCAGCGATTGATTGTCGAAGTTGCACCGCAGACTCACAGCAGCCACGTAGTTGGTCAGAGTTTCGAAGGGACACACCACAACAGGACAAATGCGGCCACGTTTGCCCTTCCCACTTTCTTCAATACTGTAAAGTTGATTATTGAGTGGTCTGCCATCCCTTCTCAACTTTATTGGCTTGTCTGCTGGAACAGAAGCAGTTTCATCTGGCTCGAGCACTGTGATGTGGTAACAATGATGTCTGCAAATTCGGGTACCTGTCTTATTGTATTTCCAACAGGATGGACCACAAACGTGAAGCATGGCCCGAGCTTGCACTTGCCATGCATCTTGAAGGTACATGGGCAGCCAGGTAGCAGTATCCAACTCCGCTTCACTTGCCCGTCCTTCTGTCAGTGTGTGGATGCGTCGATAGCTGGGCATGGCTGTCAAGGCTTGGCCACGAATCAAACGCTTCTTCATGGGCTCCGCACTTGTTTCTGGGAAGGAAGCATCTGCGGGCTCATACAAATCATCCGGAGGCAATCTTTTCGGCAGATCCATTTTCGGCACCTCAGTGACACATGGCCGACGCTGCTTGCGATACCCTTCTAAGTTCTCTTCACCGCCATCCATGCGGCACCGATGCAACATGTCTTGAGTCACAATCATGGGTTGGGCACTAGTTGCTTGACCAAACACTTTCGGTAGATGTTCAACACTACTGTGATGCGTTCGCTGAAAAAAGTTAATCCATTGACTCACCACATTCTTGAGACAACTGTGCTTCTCCTGCAAGGGCTTATCTGCAAATTGTTCAATGGCAGTCTGCATTGGCAAGCTCACGCCCCATATTTCCCAGTGTCCATGCAAGGAACCACGCCCTGAGGCTTCCAGCTCACCTCTTGCAGCTTGTAAAACCACTAAGCAGCCCAGAGACGTCAGAGATGCTGCCACACCATCGCTCGTCCAAACACGATGCTCCACGGTCACTCCCTCTGGCTGCGCAACGCAATCCGGAGAAGCCCCTAAGATATGCAAAACAAAGAGGCGCAACAGCAGCTCCACAACGACACATTGACCAACAGGATCATTCACGACACGCAGACGCAAATCTTCGTAAGTGAGTTTCAAGTCGGGATCAGCATCAATGTCTAAATTAATTTCAGCACCCTGGCAGAGCAGAATCAAAATGTTCCTGTTGTCAGCAATGTTTGGAGTGCAAAATATCAGTGGAGCCCCGAAGAAAATAGTATACGCTGTAAACTTGTGTCTGCATGCCACGCGATATCCATTGGACCCGACCACTTTGCCCATGACAAGATTGAAGAGGTGCGATGTTCGACGAACTAGGCCCATCATGCCATCCGCCTCACCGTCTTTACTGGAAAGCAGAGCGAGTTGATCGGGTAACTGCGCCAGTGATTTCAAATGTGTTTGGATCCCGGGAATGCGCAGTCCCACGTTCACAGCCATAAAACCAGACATCATGCGCCAAAAGGTCGCAATCACCATGATATTCACTGGGTGCATGCAAAAGCGATTCACGGCAAATGGCACAACTCTCCGGCTGCAAGACACACGTGGCCGTTGTTGTTCTGCTTCTTCAAGTTGTTTCAATAGCAGCTCTACATCAGGCTGATGCTCCCACAATTTTGGCTCTCCGTGCTCTGCTACGTAATTTTCACCTTCATACAAATCGTATTCCAGTTCTTCACGCAGAAGCCAGTGCTTCGCAATTTCCTGAAATGAAGTACGTTTGTATGGTTTGTCATTCAATCGCTCATCGCCATAGACACAGTCCCCGTAGCACCAGTCCATAGGGTTCCACTCCTGCCAAAAGCCTGGTTCCCACATCTTGGCGTATGCTTTTCCAGTTGGCACAACCAGCTTGGGATTGTCATCTGCAGTGAACTGCGCTTCTGTTTCTACTCCTGCAACTGGTTCCTCCCGTGCAGGCGAAGCATCGCCGTGTTCTTTGGACAAAGGTTCTGAACAAATAGCCTTTTCTATATGCTTGCGTGTTTCTGAAGCTGACACCTGACACACTGCCTTGCGAAATTCAGCTGCAGTCTGATATAGTACAGACCGCCGAGGCTTGTCTTTGATAAACTCAGCCAGTTCCTCCTCTGTTTGGATTGCAGCAGCTAATTTTTCCATTTCTTCCAACTTGGCGGCAGCCACTTGCCAGCAAGTGCTTTTGTCTAAAGGCACGGTGTCTGGACAGTGATAAGAAACTGGAACATCTTCGGAGCTTTCCAGCAACTCTTGCGCCCCCAGTGTAGAATCCACAGGGCCACGATATTTGTTGGAATCCGCTCTGCCTGCCAACTCTTCAACCTCTTCTTCATCCAACTCTTCCACAGGCGCGTCAACAAAAGTCTTTTGCAACACTTGGCGTGGATACTCGCGGTTGAGGTCCGGCAGGGAACACTGGGCGTGGATGGTCGTGGTTGAGGTCCGGCAGGGAACACTGGGCGGGGATGGTCGTGGTTGAGGTCCAGCAGGGAACACTGGGCGTGGATGGTCGTGGTTGAGGTCCGACAGAGAACACTGTGCGTCGAGGGTCGCGGTTGAGCAGGAGGAGGAGGAGAGGAGAGGAGGAGAGGAGCAGGCAACTGACATAAAATCTAACAACCCTCACCTGGCAGGTGGGGGAAAAACAATATTTGTGTTGTGATAACCACAATGTCAGTACAAATGGTCAAAATAACAGTACATGTTGGTCATCATACCAGTTAAAAAAAAAAACACGCACTGCTGATGATCAACTCCATGCGTAAACCCTTCATTCCCCACCTGCCAGGTGAGGGTTGTTAGATTTTATGTCAGTTGCCTCCTCCTCCTGCCTCGTCCTCCTCTCGTCCTCCTCTCCTCCTCCTCCTCTCCTCCTCGTCCTCCTCGTCCTCCTTGTCATCCTTGTCGTCCTCTCGTTGTCCTCGTCGTCCTCGTTGTCCTCCTCGTCCTCCTGCTCAACTGCGACTCGCGATCCACAGTGTTCGCTGCCGGACCTCAACCACGACCATCCACGCCCAGTGTTCCCTGCCGGACCTCAACCACGACCATCCACGCCCAGTGTTCCCTGCCGGACCTCAACCACGACCATCCACGCCCAGTGTTCCCTGCCGGACCTCAACCACGACCATCCACGCCCAGTGTTCCCTGCCGGACCTCAACCGCGAGTATCCGGGCCCAGTGTTCCCTGCCGGACCTGAACCACGACCATCCACGCCAAAAGATATGCCAGATAGAGTGCCAGAAGATATGCCAGATAGAATGTTAGAAGATATGCCAGATAGAATGCCAGAAGGTATGCCAGATAGAATGCCAGATAGAATGTCAGCTAGAATGCCAGAAGATATGCCAGATAAAGTGCCAGAATGTTTGCCAGATAGAATGCCAGCAGATTTGCCAGATAATATGCCAGAAGATATGCTAGATAGAATGCCAGATGGAATGCCAGAAGATTTGCCAGATAATATGCCAGAAGATATGCCAGATAGAATGCCAGATGGAATGCCAGAAGATATGCCAGAACATATGCCAGAAGATATGCCAGAAGATATGCCAGAACATCTGCCAGAAGATATGCCAGAACATCTGCCAAAAGATATGCCAGGTAGAATGCCAGAAGATATGCCAGATAGAATGCCAGATCGAATGCCAGAAAATATGTCAGATAGAATGCCAGAAGATTTGCCAGTAACAAAATGTATAAATGTCATGGTGGGGATCACACGAAGTAAAGTAATTTTATATGTGTGTGTCATGCATGATGACTAAAAAAAAACAGCACCTTCCCAGTAGATTCTCCTTGCTGGATTCGCCCATGGAATCATGGGAAAATCCCAGCTTTGGTATGTGTTTAATGTTCGTCGCAATCAAACATGTTGATATATGATGATATATGTTGTACATGTTGATATATGATGATGAATGTTATATATGTTGATATATGGTGATATATGATGAAATATGTTATATATATATGTATGGTGATATATGACGATATATGTTATATATGTTGATATATATAATAATATATATGATGATATATGTTATATATGTTGATATATGGCTATATAGGTTATAATATATGTTGATATATATATATATAATGGTATATGATGATATATGTTATATATGTTGATATATGGTTATATATGTTATAATATATGTTGACATATGATTATATATGATGATCTATGTAATATATGTTGATATATATATACAATATGTAATATATGTATGTATATTGATATATGATGATATATGTAACATATGGTGATATATGATGATATATGATGATATATGTTATATATGTTGATATATGTTGATGTATATACAAATAGATATATGTTGATATAGGTTGATAACCCGTCTATGTGACAGCAAATGCATGGAAATGCCCAGTGAAACATGTTACTCTCCACTCCATGTTATTGTAACCCTCATTTCAATGTCTTGAAATCTATATATGTTTCATGGTTTTGGTTTAATTCGATTCCTACAAAACCAGGTTTGATGTGTCGATGTGTCATCGCCCCCAGGATCCATATGTTCGAGAACAGCTGCAGTAATCAACAGCTTGGACTGCAAGAGGAGCTGATAAACGCCACCTGTCAGCGGATGACAGCCATGAGCAGCTGACGATGTGTTGCCTGTGTGCAGTTTGTCATGTGAGCAGTGTTCAAAACTGAAAATGGAACTCCCTTATATTGGTCGGTTCATGGATTATGATAATCCCTAATGTATTGGGTAGTATAACCCCAAACATAATCATGAACCAACAAGGGGTTTAGCAGCCACTGCCGATGTGACCAGGTTTATTCAGACCAGGGATTTTAAAATATTCCCCGACTTCCGGTGGATGATCGGTGGCTCTTTTGGTTCCTCTTTTGGCTTAGCGTGACATAAACAAATTTTGCCAAGGGGCTGTGTGTCGTTGCTAGTTTCGACTCGCTATACTTTGTGTGTCAAGATGTGCGACCTACCCATGGTTTCCCTTCATATTTCCCCGTGGTTCGAGTATGATCTTTTGATGTACCCTGTGCCAAACTCAATGGCAAACCCCTGTTTGTTGTAGATCGCTTATAAAATGCTATAGACAAAAACTTATTCAGACATATTCACACCATTCAGAAACACGTGTATATGTATATATATATACTGTATATATATATATATGTTTACCCCACCTTCGAGGACCTACAATTTCATCTGTGATCTGACCATATACATATATATACATATATATATATACATATATATATATATACATATATATATATAGACAAACGTCTTACGGTCCACTTACTTTGCCTGTTACGGCAACGTCTGGTTTTCACGTGCCCAAAAATCTTATCCCTGCGCCTTTCATGGCTCCCATGGACAGCATTTCCAGGAAGTCGCCAAAGGCATACCACAAGCCTTGCTGAGTCGTGAGTCTGGCGCCCTCAGTTTCGTGATCTTTTTTAGGTTATATTTCCATATATTACCCTCCAGAAAATTAACAGTTGGACCCTGCCAGATAGGGGTTGGAAGATTAATTTCCAATAAACATTGGTTATGTTCAGGATCTGTGTTCATTTACCAGAACGTATGTTATAAACCCATCCATAGTTATGACCATGTTAGTTAATCGATTTATAAACCAATTTAAGCTAACTGTGGAAACATCAACTTGTAGGTATACAACCAATCCATCTGTATGGTTGAATCCTAAGATCTGGTGAAAACTGGCAGCGCATCTTTGGACTCAAATCTAGTTATACCCTCTGGTTATGATTAACACTTCGCCATGGTATAGATGGCCCATAGAAATAGATGGTTTACCTAATTAAAATGGGTGGATCTTTCCATGGCTATGTAACAAATATATAACCAGATGGTAATTTGAATATAAGAAAAGCAGTTTACTGCTAAATAACAGTAGACATGTCAACAAAAAAAACTGCTAAGTTTCTGATGTCCTCTGCAAACGCAAGCTGTCTTGATGACAACACGTTGTCAAAACGAGGCAATGTAAGGACTCCTAACAAGTCTTAGGGTGCACAACTCATGTATCTGTCTATATAGTAAATATGTGGACCAACATGTCATGTATGATCGTGTATGATGACTATGAAAGAACATCTAGTGACTTCAATGAGCGACACATCCAGGGAAACGGCTGAATGTTGGTCACCGTTCTGCATACCTTCTTATAGGTAAAAGGGCTTGGAGCGTTGTGTAGGTCAGGTTGAAACCATGTACAAATGGCAAAAGAAATAGGTCCTTCAGCCGCATGTGATATACCCATCCATGATCCAATATAATATATATATATATACATTACATGCATAGATCTACACTAGATTAATATGTATATATATATACACATCTTACAAATACATACAACCTTGTACAATACAAATTAGTGTAATCATACATCTATCATCACACATATATATATATATCAGGGTTGCTCCAAACAACCCATGTACAGGGGGGAAATGTCGCAAATATAGAGGTAACATGATCCATGTCGCCTCAAAAAGTTGCTATAATTTACTTTTAATGGGTTGGAACAACCGTAAAAAAGGGTTGTAACCCTAATGCATATATCTAGATCAAACAACTCTAGAATAATCTAGAATATACATGTACATAATAACATATACTATAACACATATAAAATATTTTTGTACATCTGAATCCTCACATGACATATCAGGGTCAGTTGGTTGTGGATCACCAGGTGGCCAATGACAATGAAAATGGAAGCTCCCTGTGGAATCGCCCAGCACGCCTCCAGGTGAACAACGGTGGCTTTGGACTTTGATTTTTCTTTAACATGGAAAACATACTCAAAACATCTCAAAACTTTGGGTTAACACTATTGTTTCTAGAGTTCATAATAAGGGTCTAGGTATATAGATTGTCGTAGTCACTCGATGGTTGAGCCATTGATACATCAAAACATGCAACCCGGCAACATGTTCAACCAGGGAGCCGTCCCAATTGGGGCAATAAAACACAACGGTACCCTGTGGTTATTTAACATAGCCATGGAAAATGGCCCATTTATAGATGGTTTACCTATTAAAAATGGTGATTTTCCATGGCTATGTTAAATAACCAGATGGTAAATCAAAAATCATAAATCAACAAAAGCAAAACAACACCAGAAATGCATGCCATTCTCGCACGGAACCATTTTGCGTAGTTCACGATTCAGACAAGCTGCAAATGACACACAATCAATTGCATATGGCAAAGAAACAACCCGCCATGGCCTTTGTGTGCAACGCGTTGACATGATGAACTACAGTCGAAGTATTCAGGAAATGTATGGAAATGTACTCAACATATCAACAAACAAAAATGAACATCACACAAACTACCGGATTTTTTTCTGCATAAATTAAGGGTTTTTCCCTGCACATCATCAATCCAGACATGGCCTTTACGCCCTTCATGCCCTCCTCCTTCCAAGCCAGAAAGTTCACGAATACCATGGACAGCAGCTGGCCTGAGCGGTTCGGTGCTTGCTTAGTCTGTTCTGTTCGCTAAAAAAAATGTTTCAACTATAGTAAGCCCAAAAAAATCAAACAAAATAGTGATGTGATATCATTAATCTATATTAATCATTAATAATTTCTATTAATTAAACATTGTTAATTCATCATTAATTTACCACTTATAGAAAACACATGAAATCAGCATCCATAGATGGATACAGTTACACATGGACCATCTGAAATTTAAGACACTGAAGAACTTCATCCCAAGTTGGCCCTGGTTCAACTGCTGAATTGCTAAACATGACCCATAATCATATAATATAGTATTATAATAAACTATTATAGTATGATATAATCATATATATATATATTATAGACTTCCAAGTATTATCACAATACCTCCAGTGATATATTCATATACTTTTTTTTAAAAAAAAAACGTATTTCATCAATGATCATATCCTTATATGGTTCACTAAATTCCCCCCTTGTTCGTTTTGCGTGTCAGGAAGCTCATGATCGCGGGTGAGTTCTTGGAGTAAAGCATCTTTCCATCCACCTTGGAATAGTCGATGACCATGGGATGCAAGGCACGTGAGAGAACGAAGACGATGAAAATGCCCATGGTTCCTGAGCTCAGCTCGGTCAGCAAAAAGTAAGACTGAGCTCTGTTCTTGATTAAAGGGTATAACCAGATTTATATATATATATAATATCATAAAATATGTTTATATATTGTACATACTAGTATGTATATGATGTTTAGATAGATAAAATATATTATACATTCTAGCACATGTGGATATGTAACATGTATGTATATATATAGTCATATATATATCTTTGACTGGATATGTAACATGTATGTGCTTGTATATGTATATATACCTTTGACTTCAGAACAAACAAAACTACAAAGTCTCAACCAATGGTGTTCGCCCGAAAGCCTCTCCCTAACCTTTGGTGCTTCTATACGGTGCATACAGTATATTTTAATCTGTAATCACTATTGACTATACACATAACACACGTTATTCATTCTGGGTGTTGATTACACACATCCCATCTCCTTTGCTTAAATCACCCGACAGTCGTCCATTGCTTCACCAGGTGTCCCTTTGCTGCTTCGCCAGCCATGTCGACTAAGGAGGGACGACAAACTCAACGAGCGCGGACGAAGATGAGCGAATCGCTTGGGCCGAGAGCTGCGATTCTCCCGCGGGTTAGGAAGTTTGGATCTGGTTTTCAGTGTTTTCTCAAGATCGGTTAAGGCCTACAATTTGATTAGTACATGTAAATTAATATCTGATCCCCTAATATCGATGGATTTTCATGCATTATTGACACTTTGGTGGATGCAAAGGAGAGTTTCAAAGGCTGATGCGATGACTGGTCACCACCTGTCCTGGCGATCGGCATGGGCCGCTCGATCATCGATAGTGAAATCTCCACGTAAAACACAAACTGCATCGATATAGCACAAGCGTAACAGAAATAACATGATACTGGTTGGTGGTGACTTAACCATCTTGAAAAATATGAGTTCGTCAATGGAAAGGATGACATCCCATGGAAAATAACAAATGTTTGAAACCACCAACTAGGATATAACTGATATCATGCAAATGTTGTCAAAAACCATTGCACTTCGAAACAATCCCGACAAATCTTGCAATGTCTCCCAGTCCTGCAGTGCAAACTATGTAAAATATGTTGATGTGTAAATCAACGAGCAACACAAATGCCTCAAACCAGTGTCATGTGTTTTTTTCTGTTTCCTTAGAGCCATGGCTGCGGAAGCAAATATAAAGAGCGTACACCATATATATATATATATATATATATATCGCATATTTTGACTATAAATAGCTGACATCATCAAACAGAACTGTTGTGACTATGTTCCTACTAATCACCCTTAGCGTCACCATCACCATCACCATCACCATCACCATCATCACCATCATCATCATCATCATCACCATCATCATCATCATCATCATCGCCACCACCACCACCACCACCACCACCATCACGATCACGAGCACCAATGTCAACACCATCATGATCAGCCTGATCCTCATCCTCATTCTCATCCTCATCATCATCACCACCATCATCATCATCACCACCATCATCATCATCATCATCACCACCATCATCATCACCATCATCATCATCGTCGTCATCATCACCATCACCACCATCAAAATCGAACCCAACATAAACTTTTTTAAACAAAGAAAACAAAAACATCAAAAACACCAAAACCATAATTCACGTTCTATATTGTAATCATTGCATGTCATTCCCGTTCTATCTATTCCCATCCACATCAGTTCAAATTCTTTTCCAGAAAAGGGAGAACTGGCTGGCTGCAACCATCACCAGTCAGTACCTTGGTGACATTTGACATGTTTTGTAGGATAGTGGGGATCATGATTTTGGTCAGTATACACGTGTGTGATCAGTTAAATCAAATAGTTCAAGATTCTATATAGATATACATGCACGCACCTCTCCACAAGTGTGTAGACAGCATAATTTATCATATTTTATGATACATGCATACAAATAAAATATTTATTCAGCAAACAATCTAAGATCATAATTTCAATTTTGAGATTTTGTGACTTTGGTTGTGCTTAAAACCTGGTGCTTCTTACAAGGACCAAAGCAGGCCTGCCACGCAGGTTGGCCACCGGCTGTTGAAGATCTAAAGCTTCAATCTGCGTGGCCCGGCGTGAAGAAACGGACAAAAAAAAAGTATATAATGGAGGACTCCCCAGAAACCAGGGAGACACAATTTTGTCGCAGTTTGAAAAACCATGACCATGACTTGGTTTTTGTTGACAGACAAATCATATTTGAGAAATCCATGATTTAGCCAGTTTGTGGATAACGTATACCCTCTGGTAATTTAACATAGCTATTGAAAATGGCCATTTATAGTGGTTTTTTCCCATCAAAAATGGTGATTTTCCATAGTTACGTTAGTTTACCAGTAATTGGAGGATCTTCGAAAACCACGGAAGGATTTGAACAATATACTCACATTGCATTTCAGTAGCAAAACCCGGTCTAAACCCAAAGATGGTCTACAAATGTCTACAGTAGCATGATTTGTTTGATACCCACATCCATCAATGACATCATGGTAGCGAGTATAATAGCCACCTTAGACACCTAGCACGGGGATGTTTGTCCATCAATGCTATCCTTCTGGTCTTCAAACATAACCAAAAAACAACTTGCTTTCACAAAGTGAACCGTCTAAATGTCTGACGTCTTTGTCCATGTTTTCACATAAAAACTAAACAGACATGATCTGGCTGGTGGTATACCTACCCCTCTGAAAAATATATGAAAGTTAGTTGGGATGATGACATTCCAAATATATGGAAAAATAAATTCATGTTCCAAACCACCAACCAGTTCTCCATATCGTCCTCATCTTGGAATCCCCATCTGAATTTAACGATCTCAAAAAGTTCATCCATCATCCCATAAAAAAAATACTGCCAAGTTTAGGTATACTGCCTATGTTCAGACACACCCCTCCGGTAAGCTATGGAAGCCATGGCTATGTAAGCTTCGATGATTTATCACGTAAAAATATGATGATTTTCCAGTTCGCAAACTGACGAAATCAGTACCACGGGGCAAACACACTCGATATCGCCATTTTTGTTGGCTAAATCCCTATTAATCACCATCATATCATAGCCCATAAAATCTCTATGGCCTGTAAACCAATCATACCAATCATTATCCCACCATTTGTTTCGATGAGTTCCCTCTCTTAAAAACCTCCATGGCAGGATTTCTCAAAATCCCAAAAGCCTCAGCATCCAACGAAGGATTCCAAAAGTATGGCAACGACAATCGCCCCACGGCCTCGTGCTGATCGGAATGGAGGTGGACAAAGAAAGATATGTGGTAGATCTAATTTTTGGTATTCGTCAAAACAATATTTTAATTGTTTCTCTTGATATATTGAGATATTGGAAGAATGATATGAATATGTTCTGGCTGTTGGTGAGCAAAAACTTTGAGTATCTGCGCAGCATCTTGAACAAACAGCCAGCAAAAAATGAGATGTATGGATATGTTAGATTTCTGTTGTCCTCTTGTTGCCGCTCTACTCTTGTGATACACGGAAGATATGGGAACATATTTGAATAACATAAATATGTTTTACCACAAATGCAAATGGTTGCCTTCCAGCCAAGTAACATGCCAATACAGGAGCTGTGGGTCAACTCAAGAAAGTAGTTGGCTTATGTGACCAAAATGAACAAATGCGTAGTTGTTATTTTTAAATACGTATAATTAGTATGTACCATCTGGTTATTTAACAGTTCGCCATGGAAAATCACAATTTTTAATAGGTAAAAAACCATCTATAAATGGGTCATCTATACCATGGCTATGTTAAATAACCAGATGGTAATCACCATTCATTCACCATTAGCCATTAATAACCTCCATTAATCACCATGAATCATCATTAAAAAACTAGGACTAGATATGACACTCCACCGAATCTTGGGGGCGCAAAGGGTCCAAAGGACTTGCTTTGGCCGTAGAACTCGATGCACCTGGCGCCATGTCACCGCCATAACCATGAGATAATGATAGATAAATCATCATCATCATCATCGCAATAACTATTATCAGAAATATAATCGTTATCACAATTAAAATAATGATCATCATCAAGAAGGAAGACATGCTAGATTTCCTCAATATTTGTTTCAAAAGAAAACGTGGACGACCAAATGCCAGCAAATCCTTGCATTAGCAGAATGAAAAAGGAATCAAAGACAAGGTTGGTCAAAACATGAAATAACTGGATAGTATGACCCTCACATCAATGTTTGCATTCCATTTGAAAACCATATATAACTAATTATAGGAGAATAAATCAGTATCTTTCAACCCTTAAAGCCCTACACAAAGGCTGCAGCCGCACCGTCGCAGGATACACACCAGCTGATAGGAGCTGAACCACCTTCGCAGCAAAGTTATGGAGGAGCAGCAGTAGAGATAGATAAACAATGCACAAGTGAATCTTCATTCATAATATTAAATATATCTTGCTTATATCATATATATTATCATATTATAATATGGATGTACATAATATGATATAGAATGATATAGTATGTTGTGATATGTAGTAGATATTGTTGTAATACGTTGTAATGACAAGGAAAAATCTTAGAGTAGCCGCATCACAGGAATCCATCGATCATATGCGATATATGATGATCAATGAGTGGATGGACTGCTCTGGGATCTTGATGACCCTCAATAGGGACAATACATGACACTACCTCAGCAAAATGGAAGATAAAGCAATAGAACATGGTGTTTGTTCCATCTCAAAGGGAGATACAAGTAGGAAACATGGAGACTTCCTTGAGTTGCGTTGGTCTTCAAATACCCAGGTGAACATATCAAAAGAATGCGGGCTCAAGTAACATCACTTCAGCATAGCCACTGTACCAGCTGTTTGTTGGTTCGACACTCCTTTTGTGTGGCATCCCCGATGTGAGTATGGCTCAGAACGGGCATGAATGGAGGCGCACAACTCGTCATTCTCATGAGTAGGATTCCAATATTGACACCCCCTGAATTTAACATGGATTCCATAGTTGTAGCCATGTCCAACTGCGGATCATCATTTTCCAGACACCATAAATTTAAGTTTCCATGTTAGATGTAGAAGATGTACAACAATCTTCCAGTAATAATGTGTAATGTAACAATCTGTAACATATTATACATATATAATTATAGTCCAAAAATATGAGGATTTCCAGACATTCCCCATGGGTCTGTCTGAAAATAAGGTATCCCTAAATCCACTGGTCAATCATATTGTTTTTATGGGTGGACCCGGGATTTTATCCCATTTTCAGATATGTTGAGTCCCACAATTACTAGGCCAATAGATCACTACAACAAAATAGGCCCCCGAACTAACGAAATCGCTAAGTTGGGGGCCACATAACTTCAATAACTTTGGTTTTTGATACCTAGAACTATAGTTACCCTCTGGTAAATAAACATAGACCCTGAAAATCACCAATTTTTAATGGAAACTAGTCTTCCAACCCCGTTTTCTGCCAGGGTCTATGTTAAATTACCAGAGGGTAATGGGGGTGATAAACCCACTTGAGCTTTTTCCTTTTCCGGCACCTCGCCGAGGTTACAGACCAAGGATGCCGCTTGTGGCGTTGCCGGGATCCAGCCTGATGAGCGTTCCGTATTTGGCCCATCAACTGAGCAACTCAAAACTTACCCTCTGGTAAACTAACATAGCTATTGAAAATGCCCATTGATAGTGGATTTTCCCATGAAAAATGGTGATGTTCCATAGTTACGTTAGTTTACCAGAGGGTAAATTGGATCAACTGAGCAACTCAAAACTTAGGAACATGGTGTTGAATGGTGTTGAAGTGTTGAATCCCCGTGGAAACCTTCTGGATCGCCAACGAAAGCTAGGATTGATGTGGAACCAAAAACAATTAATCAAGGATATTCAAAAATAATGTATCAGCGTCCCGACTAACATATATCACGCGGTTGGAAGGCTACTTTCCTCTAAATACTGGTTGGGGGTGATGGTAAAAATCCATTCATATATACTAGTCATATCCCATTCAAGCCTAGTACATCATATGAAAGTAAATACCCAATGCAATCCTGGTAAACCCTAGTACTCCCTATCTAACCCTAGTAAACCCTAGTAGTCCCGATTAAATCCACATATATAGGTGGTATACCTACCCCCCGGAAAATATGAAAGTCAGATTGGATCATCATCCCAACTATTGGGGAAAATAAAAGCCATGTTCCAAACCACCAACCAGATACGACAATCATCGACCATCTATTTCCCATCCATTCACGGCCAAGACACGCCCGTGCGCATCCAAGAATTCCAAGCCGCCGCTCGCGTCCTGCGACGCGAGATGAACGCCATGGATTTCCAGGGAAAAACCTTCCCAATCTTAGAAACCCTACTAAAAATGGATAACTTAACTTAGACTGTTATTCACAATTTTATCCACCTATCCCCCAATGGTCCAACTATATAAATAACGGAAAACCATGGGGGTGGTCAAAACAAACAACAAGGAGCTTGCACAAAATTGTCCCTTGTTCTATCTCAACTTCTGGAAAAAGTTGTTGTACCCAATAATAAACCTAAGTGCATTTCCAAGCGGTGGCTGGCGCATCTCCTGCCAGAGCAACGTGAGAAAGCCTGAATCGCAATGAGCACCGACGCCCAGACTGCCATCACCTCGTCACAAGTCCACTGTGTCGGTCCTGTTTATGTCCTGCAAAGTCTGTGGTATGTATGCAATAAAAGCAAACTATAGTAACTATATAGATCTGTAGATAAGTGGATTAGATAGCTTGGATTAGATAGAGAGATAGCTAGATCGACAATATGGATAGAGAGATAAATAGATCATATAAATAAGTAGTAGGTAGGATAAAATAGATAGAATTCAGTAGATCGGATAAAATAGATAGGTTGATAGCCAGGGACATAGAGAGAAGGACATAGAGATAGGGAGAGATGGATCAATGGATACCCAGGTAAATGGAGAGAGTTCAATTCAATAAAACAACCGTGTGGTTCTTGTTGTTAGTTTGGACTCTTTGCCCTCTCACCTCCAGGCTAATATTCCCATGCCCTCTTTCCGGCAATGTGGTGTCTACAGCCAGTAGTGCATTAGAACGCACGAGACTCGGTACAGTTGGCAAATGCTGGCAAAGCGCATTGTCCCATATTGTACCCATGTCCATGTGTAGAACAATGTATCTGGTTACTATACCCGCGAATACCCGCGATACAAATATATTATATGGATTTATATGGATGATGGTATATTTAATATGTTTTGGAACCCATGGTATAAAGATCTGTATGTCCCCTGCTTCACATCATCACGTTAGCCAATGCGCTCTCATCACCCGGCACAGCCCAGAACAACGACAGCCTCTGTCTTGCGGCGGTGGATAATGAACCAACTTGGCCTCCAATCCGAAATTGGCAAGTGGTGATGCACCAGATCAAATTCAAATTTAAATCTGTTGGATCTGGGCAACTTCGTGTAAACATCAGCTAACCACTGGAAAAAGTAGAAAATCACATCAACTAAGCTAACTAAACAAATCTGGGCAAATTGGAACAATTCTCAAGTGGAATTCACGTCGGCAAATTGGGAGCATCCCATCATCTACGGAGCAAAATTGTCTTACTCAGGTTGCCAAGCGAGGTTGCTGTACTTCACCTATGCATGTTTAAATGTTCAACACTATTGTCAGCATATCAACCAACTGTAAGGATTATCGGATAACAACAAGAAACATTGGCATTGTGAAAACGTTGACCATTTCAATTTACCACCTCCGGGTATGCAAGATGCCACAGCCACACACACATGATCCAAGAGCATTCTTATGTTTTTCCAGTAAACAAGAGCACAACTGGGAATGTCCATTGCCGACTTTCACAACGAGAGGGTCAATCACTCCATGATGGACAGTTTTTTTTTGGCAAAAACCTCTTGGAAACTCCCGTAGTATAAAATGATTGCTTCATGGGGGATTCGCATTTCATGGATTATGATAATCCTCAAGTAACGTAAAGGGTAGGTTTATAACCTCAAAACTACTGATCAACCAACCACCATCTGTTATATCGCCATTATACTTTACTCTTGATGGTGGCCCTCTGGTAATCAAACGTGACCGGCTGGAAAATCCACAAATTATAAACAATTGTCCCAGCTAGAAACCTCCATTTTTGTCGGTGATTTCCAATTGCCTTGCCACTACCATAAACATCCATACACCATAACTACCAAAGGTAACGTTCCATTCATATCCCATCAACCCGCTATTATTCTCCAATTACCATAGTTATCCATCCGAAAAAAACAAAAAAAAACATGTTAATCCCATCCAAAAATCCCTCGCGCTCCTGGACGTGGGGTTCCCGGAAGTAGTGGTCCAAAGCTGTGGCCTCCAAACCTTGGTTTTTCACAACCATGGGCACGACCTAGAGATCTTGGGGATGAGGTGATCATTTTAAGAAACCAGCCCACTGTTTTATCTGAGTTCTCTGAGTTCTCTTCATTTAACATATTTAACTTGGGGAAAATCACAGGGATGCCAAGCTTTGCCTGACAGGAGTTGGGAGCATGGCCGGTGAACATTGTTTGAAGCTCTTGGATACATGTGCACTAAACTTGTAGATCAAATCCTTTCAAGATTGCATGTAAAATTATTTCTAGTTTCTCATCTCATTATGTTTAGGACATTGCCATGAACCCAGGGACTTTACTTCCGCGGCTAAACGGAAAGATTTTTTTCACCCATTTTCAACTGCGACTCCACACCCAGAGATAGCGACAAGGCTTGCGTCAGTCGTCGGGACAACTCCTGGAAATTCAACATCGCCGGTTTTTCGATGGGTGCAATGTGCCGCCCGACAGTTAAGTTTGTTTATAAACCTCGCTGACTACTTTAACATATTTAAATATATCATATAAATTTTCTACCAACCATAAACCACCTGATTGTACTAGGAACAGAGTACAGTAGTTCTTTCAACCAGCTTAGCTAGCGACCTGGGGCAACACCTTGTAGAAAACGAATCACCATGTCCAGCCCCGTGAGCAACTGGATGTGAACGGCCTCAATCCCGCCATGGCTTTAAAACTCAACACATCTCAGCCCAGATTCTCATTCCACTTAGGCATTTCGAAGGTAAGAAGATACTGGAACACTTACCCTCTGGTTATGTAACAGTTCGCCATGGTATAGATGGTTCATTTATAGATGGTTTACCTATTAATAGCATGGTAATTTTCCATGGCGAACTGTTAGTCATAACCAGAGGGTAACATAAAATGACCAACGTCAACCAGTTGTCGTCAACCAACCGGGTGAATCCACGGCTCCCCCCGTCCTCCATCTCTTGTAACCTGAGTTGAAAAGGCGTGTCATCCGGGCATTCTTGGTACTTGACAATTTGACAACTACATATGCAACTCCATGCTATGCCCCTATATGCACAATATATATATATATACATATGTAACAATATATATATATATATAACAATATATATATATAACAATATATATAACAATATATATAACAATATATATATCACAATATATATATACATATATATATATATGTAGTATTATAATAATGATTAAAAAAACAATAATAATTAATAATAATCATAATATATATATAATTATATATATTTGGAACCTCTATAGCCTGGATATTCATATCATGCCAAGGTCTGACTTGTTGGTTCTGCCTGAAAGAGTCCCTCATGTATTGAATATTGCAAAAAAAAATCACGAGCCAACCAAGCATGGGTTTATCAAGATTACTGTGCACCAGTACCCGGTCTGTTCTTGGTGAGATACAGTATGCAGGTCTTATTGAGCCAGTCACCTGTTTAATCCAATTTCCCCATCCAATTGTTGCCAAGTTCCCATTTGTTTCTGGCCATCACCATATTTCTTGGTCAAATGACAATTTGTTGTGGTTTAATTTACAGTACCCTCCAGCAATCGAACGTGGTTTACTTGAAAAAACATTTAGTTCGATGATTTTCCCAGCTCGCCACTTTTGATGACAGGACAACCCCAAAAATGGTGCTTCTTCACCATCAAACAGAGGGATTTCACCGTTGATTTTTTTTTTGGTTTTCAAACAATAGCTATATAACTTTGTGCAAATAACTACGGGTTATTTTTCGGATTATTTTTTGGAATTTCTGCTTATCTACTTCTCAAATCCCCCGGTTCCCCCTCGGTGCCGGTTCGCCATCGCAACATCAAGGGCTTCAACGATGGAGGCTCAGCGGGCCACTGATTGGGACCTGGTGGGATCTCAAAATTATGAACAAACATTCATCCAATATGTTACAACATGTTACAACATATACAATTAATAGGTCACATATACTGTATATATATATATATACACCACATATTGAATATAATTGTAGATGACATATTTTATATATATATATATGCCATTATTGTGTATTAAATAACCTATAGATTATAGATCCATGATCCGGATACGAGTAGCTAAACGCCGGCACGTTCATCCCATGGACGCCATGACTCAAAACTGGGTAGAAGCCAATGTTTGCAAATTACAATTGTTCCTCATGTTTGGTTAATTATGAAATGATATGACACATATATACTATATAAGTCATATGAAATCAAAATATAAAGTCTGATGAAACCATATGAAAACTGTTTCAGATTTAATCACATGAGATCATATGAAAACATATGAGGTATAATATATAATTACTTTACTTCGTGTGATCCCCACCATGACATTTATACATTTTTGTTACTGGCATATCTTCTGGCATTCTATCTGACATATCTTCTGGCATTCTATCTGGCATTCTATCTGGCATATCTTCTGGCATTCTACCTGGCATATCTTCTGGCAGATGTTCTGGCATATCTTCTGGCATTCCATCTGGCATTCTATCTTCTGGCATATGTTCTGGCAAATCTTCTGGCATATGTTCTGGCAAATCTTCTGGCATTCCATATGGCATTCTATCTGGCATATCTTCTGGCATATTATCTGGCAAATCTTCTGGCATTCTATCTGGCAAACATTCTGGCACTTTATCTGGCATATCTTCTGGTATTCTATCTGACATTTTATCTGGCATTCTATCTGGCATACCTTCTGGCATTCTCTCTGGCATATCTTCTAACATTCTATCTGGCATATCTTCTGGCATTCTATCTGGCATATCTCATGGCATTTTATCTGGCATATCTTCTGGCATTCTATCTGACATTCTATCTGGCATATCTTCTGGCATTCTATCTGGCCGTTGAGGTCCAGCAGTGCACACTGAGCTGGGAAGGTCCCAGGTTGAGGTCCAGCGCTCCACACTGAGCTGGGCAGGTCCCAGGTTGAGGTCCAGCGGTGCCCACTGAGCTGGGAAGGTCCCAGGTTGAGGTCCAGCGGTGCACACTGAGCTGGGAAGGTCCCAGGTTGAGGTCCAGCGGTGCACACTGAGCTCGGACGTTGGCGAAGAGCTTGGCGAAGATTTGGCAAGGCAACAGTGGACGTGGAAGTGGAGGCAGAGGTGGTGGAGGAGATGCTGGCGGAGGAGGAGCAGGAGGAGCAGGAGGAGGATAGCTAGCGGAAGAGGAGGAGGAGGAGGAGAACAACTGTGATAAAATCTAACAACCCTCACCTGGCAGGTGGGAAATAATATTAATTCATGATCATATCACATCATTGGAATACTCGATTATATCACTGGTCCCTGGTTTCAACATGTCCCAACCCATCTCGCCCGAAAAACAAAACACCTCGCAAGCGGCTGTGCAGCATGCCACCCTCGCCAGCGGAGCTAAGCCAAGAAGAACTGGTGATTTCAACCTATCTTGAAAATAACAGCCATCTAGCATCATGATCCCATATATATATAATTCATTATTGTGATTTGTACACTCATGTCTGACCTTGATGTGACCTTTCAGTTGGATATGCATGTGATGTTCCTGCCGCGTCCACTCGCGACTCAAGCTCCTGTGGCGGGAGGGTAGAGGCAATTTGGTCGTTGGACGACCTCTGAGCTGTGAGCCATTTGTTCCTGGGGAAAAGGTGCTGCGGACTTTAATCTGTTGGACGGGGATCCATCTCAACCTTTGAGTTTTGATCTACTTTGGTGGTTGGACCACCCACTGCTTTCAGGGAATTGCAGTTGGCTACCAGTGTGTTTTCACACTGGTAGCGGAGCTTGAAGCTCCAGCTACCGACTTCGTCAGTCTGAATTTTCTGTAGCTGCAAGAGCGGGATCCAGGGTTCCGATTTTTTGTGCATGCCACCGTCAATGCAGACTGCGATTGAGACTCCAGTTCCTGGAGAAGAGACAACGATGAATGTGACACCTCAGTTGCCATGGTCCAGTATTCCCAAGTTCACTCCGGGGACGACCAATGTCCAGGAGTACACCCAGAAACTGAAATTCCTAGCTGCAATGTGGCCTAGTGAGTACCTGAGTCAGCTCGCTCCCCGAGCAGCCTTGCTTGTTGAAGGCACGGCTTTTCGGAAGGTGTCGCGCCTTGACCCTAGCAAGCTCCGTGTGAATGATCAGACTGGTGTGGCCTTACTGGTGAATGCGATTGGGGGATCATGGGGTGCTACTGAGTTGGAGGAAAGATATGAATACTTTGAAAAGGCTTTGTATGGAACTGTTCAGCGATCGGATGAGACGCACGATTCATATCTGTCTCGAATGGAAGCCAATTTCATTGAGTTGCTGAGCCGTGAAACCAAGTTAGAAGAAGTTCAAGCCTATGTCCTTCTCCGTCAGTCCTTGTTGAGCCCAGACGACAAAAAGAAGATCCTCCTTGAACACTCAGGTGAACTGAAGTATGAGCCTGTGGTGAAGTCGTTTCGACTCTTGGGCAGTAAGTTCTTTTCCGAGCTTCAAGGTGGACGTTCGACAGGAAAGACCAAGGTGTACGATGTCAATGTGGCCGAATTGGCCGATTCCGAATGTGCTCGCTCTTCCGAGGAAATGCCAGCGGAAAGAGCCTTTGTTGCAATGATGGATGATCAGGAACCAGAACTTGATGCCGAGTTCATGGAAGTGATGCTTGCGTCAGAAGACCATGACGCTCTTGTTGTCAATGCGTTTGAACAGGAGTTGGAAGATTTCCTCCAGGATGTGCCCGATATGCATGACGCCATGGTGTCCTACATCGAGGCCAGATCGAAGCTCCTGGAGAAGCGTCGAAGTCGTGGATTCTGGCCTGTGAAGTTCAGTGGAAAAGATGGGCGACCGGCCTTCAAAGGCAAAGGCCGCGGCAAGGGCAAGAAGCAACGGGATCAATTGCTTGCCCGAATTGCTCGCTCAACTTGCCGGATCTGTCATCAAAAGGGCCATTGGAAGGCTGAGTGCCCCAACCGTGAGAAGAATACGGATGGGAGCCAGACAGCCTCGGCCAACATTGCAGAAGCCTCACATGCCGCTGCGGTGCAGGAAGTTCACTCATGGAGCCTGAGTCCGCTCCTTCTGACGTTGCTGACACGCCGTCCAGTTTTCCGGTTTGTTTCAGTAAGTTTTGTGAGGACCCAACATGTGACGTTGCCGATGCATTCGTTGTCCAAGCCCTGACAAGTGAATCCCTTAAGACTGCACTTAGCCAACGTATGAAAACATTTTTGGGAAATAAGTTCCAGCCGAAAGAGACCTATGTCCAGCATCCGCCCAGGTTTGCCATGACCGTGAAACAGCCCTGCTTCAAATGGAATGCCAAAGAATCTGAACTGCCGGAGCCACTCCCAGAAATGTGTCATGTTGCCTCGACATGTGACAAACCATGTCACGCCATTTTGGACACCGGAGCAAGCCGATGTGTGATTGGTGAGAAAAATTGGCAACAGTTGGCCAGCCGTCTTCCAAGTGATTTGCAGAATAAGATCCGAAAGTATCCAAGCAAAGTAAAATTCAGGTTTGGTAACAATCAAACGCTTCAGAGTGAATATCAAGTTCAGCTGCCGTTGCAAGGTCCTCCATTATCCAAGAAACGTTTTTGGCTGACCATCGAAGTTTTGCCCGGAGGAACACCATTTTTGTTCAGCAAACGTGCATTCAAACAATTGGGGGGCATTCTGAACACCACCAATGATACTTGTTACCTTCAGAGACTTGAACGAGAAATTGCATTGGATTTGAATCCCACTGAACTGTACTTGCTTGATGACTTGCTTGATGTCTTGCAACTTTGCCAGCCTGCCAGTTCCAGTTTTTTTATGTTTCCACCCTCCAAGAATCATGTGTTTGTTTGTGATCGATCAAGGGGAGGTGATCGGTCAAGTGGGTCACATGATCGTGAAAACCCCGTCGAGAACATTGCACTCACCATGGCACAGCCAGCCTCAAGCAAGTCAAGCCTGAAAGACCGTGACACCCCGCCGTGTGTGACCTGTCATGCCGCCTGTGCAGATGATGTCGTCTCTCAAGACCGTTGCAGAAGCAGTGATCAGTCTCCTAACGATGCTGCTGCAGTTCTTGATCCACCAGTTGGAAGTGATGCCCGACGATGCCGAGAGTCCTTCCGAGATGATGGGAGTGATGGAGGGCATGGTTCAGGAACTCCAGAAGCAAAGGGCCATACTGCAAGGTCTGATGACCACGTCCCGAGATGTCCAAAAGAAGGGCGCCCGAAGTTCAACTGGCGATTCAACCAGTGCCGGCGCCTCACCAATGGAGCCCACACCACCAAGCCTTCCTATTCAGAGCCTATCGATGCCAAGTGTCCCGAACCAAGTGTCTGTGAACTCCCAACGAGTTGCTCAAGCTCTTCAACGCCCTTCGCTGGCTTTAGCAAACGAGCAGACAGCAGTCACTGGACGAGTGACAAACTGGCAGCTGATCGAGGAGATGGAAGAAGAAGTGGTGCTCGATCTCGAGGGTCGCAATCTGATGGGCCCCAATCTGAGCTCAGCCAATGTTCTGGGCAGCACGGGAGCGCTTGGCCCAATGATTCCACGGGCATCCGCGCAGATGACAGTCGGAGACTGGTCACAATGCAGAGTGACATGGGGCAAGAAACACAAAGGCAAGACGTATCACCAGGTTCTGACCTTGGATCCATCATACTACCAATGGGCCGTTGCTCGTTTTCAAAGTCTCACTCCCGAGCAGCAAGATTTCGTTCGATACTGCCAGGTAGAGATGGATCTCGATCGTCGCAACTAGGATCGGAAACAAAACTTGATGTTGAGATGTCTTCGTATCATGCTGCCGTTGATGACACTCGGAAATGGTTGAAACATAGTTCTTCACCCAGTTTGTTCAATACCACCGTGAAAGAGTCGTTCGGAAAAGTTTCCAAGATCCTGGAAGAAGCCTTTGTATCTCCTTCTTGGAGTGTGCCTCGAAAGCCCTGCGTGTTGCTGGAGGTTTATACTGAGGAGCACAGCCCACTGACAGAGGCCTTGCGAAGTCGAGGCCATTTTGCTTTAAGATTCACTCGCCGTGATGGAGACTTGTCAACAGTGGATGGACGTAGAAAGCTATGGAAACTGATTGATCAATATCAACCCCTCAACATTTGGGTGGCTCCTGAATGTGGTCCATGGAGTGGATGGAATAAACTCAATCAGTTCAAAAGTGTTGCCATGTTTGACAAGATTCAAAACCTCCAGGCGAAGGAATTGCAACATGTGGAGCTTTGTTCTGAGTTGTGCCGCTTTCAGGTTAAGCGGAGCCGGCAGTTCCATCTTGAGCAACCCAATGGATCATCCATGCCACAGCTGGCCAGCTTTGAAACGATCCATGCCATGACTGAAAGGGCCAGTTTTGATATGTGCATGTTTGGTTTGAAACATCCGGTATCCCTGAAATTCTTGCGCAAATCAAGCCAAGTGTTTTCCACTGATCCAGTCATGATCAACCGATTGAATCTAGCCAGATGTGACCATACCCATGTGCACCAGCCAATTGAGGGAAGCGTTCTGGTCCATGGCCAGCGCATGCCACTGACACGTTTTTGTGCCTCCTACTGCAAAGGGTTTGCCTCCAAAATTTCCTCATGGATGATGAAGTCAATGGATCAAGCGTATGTTGGTGAACATGAAGACATGCCCCCTGCCAAACGTTTTCGATTTTCCAGTCCTCCACATAAACGCTTCAAAACCAATCCAGATGAAGACAATGACAAATCCATGCCAAAGATTCCCGAACCGATAGACCTTGATCCTGAAGACCAACCTATGGAACCAGTAGCTGAAGCAACCAGTACACCTGCGGAGTGTCCTGCAAACCTTCCGAAGCCACAGTCTGAAAGACTGGAGCAAAGGAGAGCACAATTTCCAGCGAGAAAGGCTCCCGATGTCCAAAGTCCGAACGTTCCGACATCAATGCCTCAGCATGTTACGCCACCGGAGTCCGAACTCTGGAAAGAAGTTTTCCGCACAATGGAAAGCCTGGCCCCACGTGTTGGCAATTTGCAGGTTACCGCTTCCCACGCTGTTGTACAGCAGGTTCAACAATTGGTGCCACAAATGCATGTTCATGTCATTTTTGTGTGTAGAGGCACGGAGAGGTTTCAACTTCCCCTCCAACTAATGGACCGCCAACGCAACACCATGAGACACACAATATGCATGCATCGAGCCACCGGAGAAATCCATGATTTAGGATGCGAGGAATGGATCAACTTGAAGAGACAGCAAAGAATAAGAAATGCTATTCCCTCCAAAATCATGATAACCAGTTTCGGTAGCCCTGTTGAACATGATGAGCACAATGAACATATGAGTGCACCACCTGAGAGACCTGCAGTTCCTAGTGTTGCGAAAGTATATGCCGGGGCGCCCTGTCCTGACAATCCCAATGAGGCTGCGAGCCGTGTTCCGAAGATCAGCCAACACGAAGTATGTGAAGGATGGGCTCCGCCGCCAATTGCCATGCATGGCCCCAAATACCGTGAACTTAGCTCAGCTGAAAAGGCCGATCTGAAGAAACTTCATGTAAATTTGGGCCATCCCGATCCGAACGTGTTGGCTGAGCATCTGAAAGCTCAGAAGGCAGCTGACCACGTGGTTGCCGCTGCCAAAGAGTTTGTTTGTGATGCTTGCGTAGAGTCCGTGGGTCGAAAACACCAACGTCCGGCCAAACTACATGATGCCAGAGACTTCAATGATTTGATTGGAATGGACGGGTTTTATTGGTCAGGTACGCGAGGTTTCAGAGTCCATGTTTTTCACTGCATTGATGAAGCATCCCTCTTTCACCTTGGCCGTAGATGTGAAACCCGTAATCCAGACCGTGTCATCGAAACTTGGACGGAATTTTGGTCATCATGGGCTGGGGACCCTCTTCAAATGTACACTGATCCGGCCGGAGAATTCATATCCCAGGAATGGAAAAACATGATGCGAGATCACTCCATTCAACCACTGATTTCTACTGAAGCTTGGCAACGTGGTAGGATAGAAAGACATGGCCAGATCATCAAGAGAATGCTCACCCGGTTTGACCTGGACCGACCCATTGAGACCGTTCAAGATTTTGACCGCGTGCTGTTAGCCTGCTTTCAAGCCAAGAACTCATTGACTCGGCAACAGGGATTCTCACCCGAACAAATAGTCCTTGGAAAATCCAAAAGACTTCCAGCCAGCTTGACCTCGGATGATGATGCTGTTTCGCATTCCCTTGCTGCCAGCGATGAGCCTGAAAGTGAGGCCTTCCGTCGAAACTTGGAGACTAGAACCATTGCCCGAAAAGCTTTCTTGATCACTGATAATGACAATGCCATTCGTAGAGCCCTGTTACGTAGGTCTTGTCCCATGAGAGGTCCTTACGAACCTGGTCAATTGGTGATGTATTGGATCAAGAAACATCGAGCAAGTCGCCAAGAATCCGGAAGATGGCACGGACCTGCTCGCGTGGTCCTGCAGGAAAGCCCCTCAGCTGTCTGGCTGTCCCATGCAGACCGACTCTTTAAGTGTGCTCCAGAAAGTCTTCGACCAGCCTCGCTGCGAGAATGGAACGTCGTGCATGGCTCTCAATCGTCCTGGGTTCCAGAGTTGCCACCAGTGAATGATGAAATCCGAGCTCCTACATCCCCAATGACCAACATGGAGTATGAGCCCAGTTTAGCACCTGAACCCGCAGTCTCTGTCAATCGAAGTCCATCCATTACACCTCACTCATCACTTCAACCCGAAAGTGAACATTTCCCGGAGTTTGTCAATAATCCTGAAAATAACGATGATAACCTTCCCAATGATAACCCTCCTGAACTTGACAATACCAATGCCATTGACTTAGACGATCCCGAGACTGGAGAGCCTTCCTTGACTGAAAACACCATGCCAATTTTGACCTGCAGTGTAGTTGAAGAATCCGACCAGGCCTTGTACGACTGGACCCAACTAGTCTCAACTCAGGAAACTTGCAATGTTTTGCTAGCCGAAGATGGAATGCAAATGCTTGAAGAACCTCTTGAGTGCAATGATCGACAGTGTTTTGCCCTTGCCATCGACCTGAGTGAGAGCGATCTCCAACGGTGGTCTCAGTCTGACAAGCCTGAAGAAATGACCTATCTAGCCAGTGTAGGCAAGCGTGCCCGAGCAGAAGTCAGTGTAAAGAACTTGACATATGAAGAAAGACTTCTGTTTGAAAAGGCAAAGGATGCTGAGCTGAATTGTTGGATCCAAACGAATGCCTTGAAATCCATACTCCGAAGAAAACTGAACCCCGAACAGATTCTCAAAAGTCGATGGATATTAACCTGGAAAAATATTAACGAAGAAGATTCAACAAAAGCCCAAAGAAAAGCCAAGGCCAGACTCGTTGTCCTTGGGTTCCAGGATCCCAAACTTTGTGAAGTAGCCAGAGACAGTCCCACTCTGACCCGAGAGGGCCGTCACACAGTGTTGCAAACCATTGCTTCACACAACTGGGTTCTTTCTTCGTTTGATATCAAGACGGCATTCTTGAGGGGACAATCCGACAAAACAAATCCTTTAGCCATGGAACCACCTGCGGAACTGAGAAAGAAACTCAATTTGTCAGATGACCAAGTTTGTTCTTTGTTAGGTAACGCATATGGGAGAGTTGATGCACCTTTGCTGTTTTACAAAGAATTGACAAAGCAATTGAGTAAACTCCAGTTCACTCGACATCCTCTTGAGCCATGTATATACTTGCTGGAAACTAATGAGGGCGACAATCGTAAGCTGCATGGAGTATTGGGCACTCACGTGGACGACGGAATCTGCGGTGGAGACCAATTTTTCATAAACAGCTCGAACGACTCAAGCAAGTTTTACCTTTCGGTTCGTTCAAACAACAGAAGTTCGTTTTCACGGGCATTCACCTTGAACAATTACCGGACTTTAGCATCATGGCTTCACAGGAGGAGTATGTGAAGAATATTCAAGCTATCGATATTGGAAGAATCCGACGTCAGACACCTGAGTCAACAGTAACTGAACCTGAGTTAAATAAGCTTCGAGGTCTTATTGGAAGTTTACAGTATGCTGTTACTCACACTCGTCCTGACATGGCCGCCAAGCTCGGTGAAGTCCAAATTCAAATAGCCAAAGCCACGGTACAAACCATGATGCTGGCGAACAAGGTTCTTAGAGAAGCACAGGAAAACTGTCATGTAAAGATATGTTTCCGAAGCATTCCAACAGAAAAAGTAACCCATGTCAGCTTCGGAGATGCTTCCTTTGCAAGTGCCAAGCAGTTATCCTCGTTTCAAGGAACTCTGATCTGTGCGACAACGGAAGCCTTGGATAAGAATCAGAAAGCACCTATCAGCCCTTTAACATGGATCTCTAAGAAAATCGCCCGTGTGGTACGCTCGACTTTGTCAGCAGAAGCCTTCTCTATGTCAAATTCAGTTGACCGGTTGGGATGGATGCGGCTCTTATGGGGTACCATTAACATTCCAAATTTCAACTGGAGAGATGCAAAGCAAGGTTTTTCAAGTTTACCAAAAGCCATTATTGTGACTGATTGCAAAAGCCTATTCGATCTTGTCAGCCGGACAGCAATGCCATCTTGTGAAGAATTTCGAACAACTTTAGAAGTACTGCTCATTCGCGAAAGATGTAACGAACACTGTTCTTTTAGATGGATTCCTACTTCTCTTCAAGTGGCCGATGCGTTGACAAAGGCGATGGACCCAATTTTGCTTCGTCAGGTTTTGGCATCAGGTAGTTTTCAACTATATGATGAAACTGAAACGCTGGAAAGAAATGCACACCGAAAACGTGCAGTTCAGTGGTTCAAAGATCTGCAAGGAGATATGGCAACTTCGGTGTCACATCAACAGAATTTTAAGTGAGTGTGATTTGTACACTCATGTCTGACCTTGATGTGACCTTTCAGTTGGATATGCATGTGATGTTCCTGCCGCATCCACTCGCGACTCAAGCTCCTGTGGCGGGAGGGTAGAGGCAATTTGGTCGTTGGACGACCTCTGAGCTGTGAGCCATTTGTTCCTGGGGAAAAGGTGCTGCGGACTTTAATCTGTTGGACGGGGATCCATCTCAACCTTTGAGTTTTGATCTACTTTGGTGGTTGGACCACCCACTGCTTTCAGGGAATTGCAGTTGGCTACCAGTGTGTTTTCACACATTATATAGATATATAATATTATAATTATATACAGTATATATATATATATGGTTTCAAAATGTATGTTTCTTGCAAACCACCAGCCAAAATCAAAAAGAGGATCTGAGCCAACAATAATGGGGACAATTGGCGAAAACCGCTTGCTTTAAGTCATCCCATGTTCGAAGAATTCAACGAAATTGACATAAATTGACATAAATTGACATAAATTGACAATTTGAGTTCATCAAATCAAAATCGACAAACAAACATGAAACCAACGACATATGCTGCTTGCGACCCGGTCAAGATCAAAATGATGTCGACTGAGTCCAAGGCAGGCACCCTGCTATTCAATGGTGAACCACCCAAAACATTTGAAATGGTCAGAACTGGGTATGGCTCCCTGCTATTCGGTCCCGGGATTCCAGACCAGAGATTTTTCATCAAAAATCTTAACCTTAGCCAGGTGATTGAATTGGATTTCATGGTCATTTTAATGGTTTTAATATGTTTTAATGACATATTCTTGGGATTTTATAGTGATTGAATACTGATGTAATAGTGATTTACCCTCTGGTAAATTTACTGTTCGATCCTGAATATAGCCATGTCTTAGCGGAAACAAACATCTTCCAACCCCTATCTGCCAGGGTCCAACTGTTAATTTACTGGAGGGTAGATTTTACATCAAAAGATCCACAACACTGTGAGGACCAGCCCAAAAAAACTAGAAAACTATCTGAAATGCATGCCAGATGAGGTACCCTCTGGTAAACGTTTACATAACTATGGAAAATCATCATGCTATTAATGGGAAAATCCACTAGAAATGGTCATTTTCAATAGCTATGTTAGTCATTACCAGAGGGTAATCACCATTGATTCACTATTAGCCATTAATAACCCCCATTAATCACCATTAACCACCATTAACCACCATTAATCCCATAGTGATCCCATAGTGATCCCATAGTGATCCCATGGGTTTCCCCAGCATGGTCCCTACAGGTGACCCTGGTGACCCGGCCTCGGCTCGAGCAATCGAAGGTCTGGCTTCTTCGCGGCCGAACTCCAGCTGCTCACGCCTCAGGACTGGTCCAGGACAGGTCAGGACCCGGGTGAAACTCCGATAAATCAACTGCAGTTATGGCCATGGCTATTAGTTATAACTGGTTATTTCTATGGGATTATACAATCTATAAATGGGATTATAAGTACTTATAACTGGTAAATGGCCATAACTGTGGGATCGTTGGGATCATCATGCCATTTCCCATATAGGATCCATGGTGCTGGTATATATGCTAACATAAAGGGGGTATATTGATGGTAAATGTTACCATATATATATATAGCATACATGGATCCTATGGGTTTGGATGGAACTATGATGGAAACATGATGGAACTATGATGGAACTACCATCTGGTTATGACTAACTCACAGAAATAGCCATGGAAAATCAACACCCATTTTTGAGAACGGTAAACCATCTATTTCGATTAGGGCCATCTATACCATGGCTATGTTAAAAACCCAGAGGGTATATGAAAAATGAAAGTTTCATGTGGGATTTAATGGGATTGTATGGTGATGAATGGGGCTTTAACGAACAAACATGGGGACCTGTTTCGGAATGACCCTGGAATGAGACTAGCGGCTAGCTGGGAAATCCCAATAAAAAAAATGGATGTTTATAGCTGGGAAGATCATCGAACTAAATAGGGAGGGTAAATAAGAAGTTCATCCGTTTCAATTATGGGTTTGACTGAAAATAGGCAACTCCATTCCACTGGTTTATCGTGATTTTCAATCTTAAAATGGTCATAGCTTGGGTACCGGACATTCTCATGCCAAAAAAGAGGAAACATCGACTGCGGACAGCCTCTATGTTTACCCTCTGGTAAACGTTTACATAACTATGGAAAATCACCATTTATTTATGGGAAAATTCACTATTTCAATAGCTATGTTAGTCATTACCAGAGGGTAACCCATCCCGTCCGTTTAGCAAACAACTTCTGACATCACCGTCTCAGTGCGCAGCTCATCCACAGCACCAGCAGTATTCTCGGCACCCTAACCGGAGCGTTCTGGGCACCAGGGATCTACGGGATCTACATGGCAGCCATTGCCATCGTGGCAGCATGTAGCAAAGCCCAAGGCCGTGAACAACTACCATTTCGGAATGAATTCTACAACCCATTTAATATCCCATAGGATCCATGTATGCCATATATGGTAACATTTACCATCAATATACCCCCAATGTTAGCATATATACCATACATGGATCCTATGGGTATTGACCATTTGGGGATGCGTCAAAACCCTGGTACCTAGTGAACCCCAAAATAGCTGGTAAATGGATGTTCATCCCACTAAAAATGTATCTATAGGTATTGACCCATACCCATTTAATATTGATTAATGAACTTTATGTCAACCCATTGACCCATTGTGTACCATTTTTGCTAAAAACAACATTACAAACATCTTCGCAGAAGTTGGTCATCTTAAGTAGTACGTTTCCCGGCTCGCCTGAGAAACCATGCACTCCAAAATTCGTCCGTCTGAAAATACGCCAAAATCCACTGAGGATATTTTCCTGGATATATAATGGTGAGTCATTCACCGTAGAATCTGCTTTCTGTGTGTACCTTGTTGTGTTTTCCAAAGGTCATCCCACCATGAATTGTTCAAAGGAATAGAATTCATGGGTCAGACCATGGCACATACCGCTCGAAAGAAAAAACAAGAAAATTGAATACAACTATATATAGTAATCTATAGGAACATAAATCACTATTTATATAATTAACTAAGATTCACTGTTCTGTTTGTTTACTGTTCTAAACACAAACCAGAATAAACAAAAGATTGTTCACTGGGATCTGCATCGAAATTCACTGCCTGTCGCATGTAGCCGCGAAACTCGGGGGACTGCTGGTAGCCCACTTTCTCCTGCGGATGTGATGTCACTTAAAAGCAAGGGAAGATTTCTCCGGAAATTCACAAACGTGTAAAATCTCACTTGAAACCACCACCTAGAACATGGATTGCCTGAGATTGCCCGTTTTTTCGTGGTGTCAACATTCTGACCAAAAACTGATGATGATCCAAGAAAATTTAGCCAAGAGACTGCTAGCCTGTATCTGACCAAAAACTGGCATACCATTCATACAATCCAAAAGAAAAAACAGTAATTACCTGGTTGGTGGTTTCAACCCCTCTGAAACAAAAATAGTCAGTTGGGATGATGACATTCCCAATATATGGAAAGTCATAAATTTCATGTTCCAGTCACCACCAACCAGCCATTCATATTCCATTACCAGAGGATTAATCACCATTAAATCACCATTAATATCCCTATTAAATCACCATTAATATCCCAATTATAGATTATTAACCATTACTAACCATTACTAACCATTATTAACCATTATTCCAAACTGAGATATACTGAGTATACTTTCGGATGTTCCCCTTCCTTGTAACAGTGACCACAACTGGACAGCACAAACGGAGCACCACAAAAATGCGCCAAATTGAGTTTATCTCTGATCAGAAGTCCCAACATACAGTCATGCTCAAATCAGAAAAAACTGTCTTTCCACTACGCCTGCGGAAGCTCCATGGTGCCATCAACATAGGCATGGGTTGTCAAAGCAAAGTAGTAATGGAACGTGCTTTGTGCAAGCTTTGCACTACAAAGTAGTACTGGGAAGTACTTTGTGCAACTTTGTAGTACACAGTAGTACTGAGAAATACTTTTTGCAAGCTTTGTTGTACAAAGTAGTACTGGGAAATACTTTTTGCAAGCTTTGTAGTGCACAGCAGTACTGGAAAGTAGCTTGTGCAAGCTTTGTAGTACAAAGTAGTACTGGGAAGTGCTTTGTGCAAGCTTTGTAGTGCAGAGTAGTACTGGGAAGTGCTTTGTGCAAGCTTTGTAGTACAACGTAGTACTGGGAAGTGCTTTGTGCAAGCTTTGTAGTACAAAGTAGTACTGGGAAGTGCTTTGTGCAAGCTTTGTAGTGCAAAGTAGTTCTGGGAGAGCTGGGTAAGCTGGCCAATTAAAATCAATTGTAAATGGAAAGCTCAAGAAAAAAACAGATTTTTTTGCTGATTTTCTGGTGCTCCGTTTGTGGTCTCTGATTGTACTTTCTGGTGCTTCATTTGTGCTCTCTGATTGGACTTGCTGGTGCTCCGTTTTGGGAAAACCTCTTGTCCCTCTGGTGCTCCGTTTGTGGTCTCTGATTGTACTTTCTGGTGCTTCATTTGTGCTCTCTGATTGGACTTGCTGGTGCTCCGTTTTGGCAAAACCTCTGGTCTCTCTGGTGCTCCGTTTGTGGTCTCTGATTGTACTTTCTGGTGCTTCGTTTGTGCTCTCTGATTGGACTTGCTGGTGCTCCGTTTTGGCAAAACCTCTGGTCTCTCTGGTGCTCCGTTTGTGGTCTCTGATTGTACTTTCTGGTGCTTCGTTTGTGCTCTCTGATTGGACTTGCTGGTGCTCCGTTTTGGCAAAACTTCTGGTCTCTCTGGTGCTCCGTTTGTGGTCTCTGATTGTACTTTCTGGTGCTTCGTTTGTGCTCTCTGATTGGACTTGCTGGTGCTCCGTTTTGGCAAAACCTCTGGTCTCTCTGGTGCTCCGTTTGTGGTCTCTGATTGTACTTTCTGGTGCTTCATTTGTGCTCTCTGATTGGACTTGCTGGTGCTCCGTTTTGGCAAAACCTCTGGTCTCTCTGGTGCTCCGTTTGTGGTCTCTGATTGTACTTTCTGGTGCTTCATTTGTGCTCTCTGATTGGACTTGCTGGTGCTCCGTTTTGGCAAAACCTCTGGTCTCTCTGGTGCTCCGTTTGTGGTCTCTGATTGTACTTTCTGGTGCTTCATTTGTGCTCTCTGATTGGACTTGCTGGTGCTCCGTTTTGGCAAAACCTCTGGTCTCTGGTGCTCCGTTTGTGGTCTCTGATTGTACTTTCTGGTGCTTCATTTGTGCTCTCTGATTGGACTTGCTGGTGCTCCGTTTTGGCAAAACCTCTGGTCTCTCTGGTGCTCCGTTTGTGGTCTCTGATTGTACTTTCTGGTGCTTCGTTTGTGCTCTCTGATTGGACTTGCTGGTGCTCCGTTTTGGCAAAACCTCTGGTCTCTCTGGTGCTCCGTTTGTGGTCTCTGATTGTACTTTCTGGTGCTTCGTTTGTGCTCTCTGATTGGACTTGCTGGTGCTCCGTTTTGGCAAAACCTCTGGTCTCTCTGGTGCTCCGTTTGTGGTCTCTGATTGTACTTTCTGGTGCTTCATTTGTGCTCTCTGATTGGACTTGCTGGTGCTCCGTTTTGGCAAAACCTCTGGTCTCTCTGGTGCTCCGTTTGTGGTCTCTGATTGTACTTTCTGGTGCTTCGTTTGTGCTCTCTGATTGGACTTGCTGGTGCTCCGTTTTGGCAAAACCTCTGGTCTCTCTGGTACTCCGTTTGTGGTCTCTGATTGTGTTTTTTTTGCAAAGCGCACACGGCGACAAGGACAGCCGAAATTGGCCAACTTTACCGTGGACAGGCTGTCTCCCAAAGGTGTTTTTCGGCACCTTTCCTGGTGCTCCGTTTGGTCCTTTCTGGTGCCTCTGCTGGTGCTCCGTTTGTGGCCTCTCCTTGTGCTTTTTTTTTTTGGATTTTTACTTTGCATTGTTGCATCAATCAAGATTAAACTATGTCCGATTTACTGGCATGAGATTAGGGTTTAGGATTTAGGGTTGAGGATTTTGCATGGCCGACCATACCGTGTGACTGACCGCAACATATCATAGAATCAGATCCATGCGGCCCATGGCCCAAATCACTTTTGAATTCAAATGATCACGCAACACAACCTATGCCACATGTCTGGGATGTCAAAGCAAAGGGATGCCAAAGCAAAGGGATGTCACAGCCAATGGGATGTCAAGGCAATGGGATGTCAAAACAACACACAGAATCCCAGTCTGGTAGCTTTGGGGGGGGACCAATGAGAGAATTGGAGACAGGACAGCGCCTTAGAGAATGACATGTGATATGGTGGTAGGATTCTTGGAGGGAGAATCATGAAAAGAATGATGAGCTGGACACCAACTCCAAGCCACCTGATGAAACAAATGCCAAGGAAAATGGGACCAAGACATAAAGGGTTAGAAAGCACCAAATGGAATGATGAAATTTCTTACCTAGGCTCCGAAAAGTTAATGTCATTCTGGGCTATTTTCCTGGTGCTTCATTTTGCTTCTCTGATATGTGGAAATCCATTATTTGGCTGTTACAATGGGAGGGAACATCCGAAAGTATACTCTACTCACCAAGAATCCGATAGAGATCTTGATACGTCCCCAGTCCCGGTTTCCTGGTGAAATTCCACCATGTTTAAACTGATTGAAGTCACCTTAAAAATGGTCACTGTGGCGCCACACCCCACGTTCGCCCACCCCCAAATAACACCCCCAAACAATATCATATACTTGTCACCAAAGCATGAATGAAAACACTGGCTATACGCAGCGATTTTGACTTTAGGTCTTTAGGATTTAGAGTTTTCATTTAGGGTTTAGGCTTTTAGGTTTCTATGGTTTTAGGGATTTAGGGTTTTAGGTTTTGGAAAGTAAAAAACGCTAGCCCTACGAAGGGATTTGAGCATGTCAAAGGATATGTGGGATCCGGTACGGGCAAACGTGCGGTTTGCAGCGCACAAGTTTTAGTGGATGTATCAACGTTTTCAATGCGAGAATCCAATTCTTAGTGGTGAGTTCTTAGTCTAATAGTGTTTAAAATCCCATCTCTTTAGCAAGTAAACCTTCCCATTCCTAGTCCTATCGTTGGGGGCCTGATTTTGCGCACCTTCTCCATCACCGGCAGGGCGAAGAATTCGCGGCCACTGCTCATCAGCTCCTAAAAATTGCGATGATTGAAACATGTTGAAAGCCTATAAATAATGGGAGAAACCACCTATCAACTGGAAATTTCGCAACCATCCACAATATTATGGACACAATTACTCAATATCTCAATGGGGTCTATGTGGGTTCCATCGTGTGTATGAAATTGTATATCATTGTTTATATCATTTTATATCAATATCACATATGGCACTGCATAGTGGATGATGTTGCTCACTCTGTGTCTTTGGCCAATGCACATGTCCAAAACCTGTTGCGTGGCCACATCTGGGTTTGTCTGAAAATTGGGTACCCCTAAATCGGTTCATCATAATTTTCCCTATCAAATTTGCCATTCAAGAATATATCACATGTTCAATCACATCCAAATCATACTATAAACATCTATAAACCAGGAATTATGTCCCCAATATTCCCCATTATTATACTATACAACCAGTGTTTTTCCCAAGGTATCCGCTATTGACCTAGTTGGTTGTATACCCCATTCTATCTCAACAATCTCCTCAGGTTTCCTGCTTTGTTGTGCCTCATGCAGGCGGCTGAGGTCATTTGGAAGCTCCGTGAGCAGCAAACAACCGGCTCCTGTGATCTGGTGAATTGGGATCCTGATTGCATGAGGAAAAGCTTTACCCTCTGGCAATTACATAACTATGGAAAATCACCATAGAAATAGTGATTTGTCCCATGAAAAATTGTGATTTTCCATAGTTATGTAACAAATTACCAGAGGGTATATTTTGAGAGTCAGTCCTACTTCGAAGCAAAATTTCTTGACTCCTCAGTTCCAATGGTGAAATTCACCAGGTCTTCCTGGTTTAAGCATTCGGTGCATAACTCTTTCATTTTCCACGATTACTCTGCATAAAATAAACAAAACTATGGAACATCCACAATGTTCATAATTTCCTACTTGGCGGGATGCAGTTGAGGTATAACCATGGGTATAACCATGGTTATAACCATGGTTCTGAACCCCATAAGTTGGGATGTAACATGATGTAACTATATCTATATATATATATATCCACTTATATTATGTGTAACTGCACTTCCAAGCAGGGAAAGTATGCACATTTTCCAGCTCCTCCATCGGCCACTCGGCATGCCTCACCTGTGGGGTCGCAGGGGGTGATGAAATCCTAACTTTCTGATACTTTTTGGAGGTGCTGAAGATACTCCTTAGCACAAACAAATATAACTTTCCTGAAGGTGGATTGACCAAGAATGTGACCACAAACACACACAAGATAACATCAGAACATCCATGGCTATCCTTCAAACATGGGCAACATCTGGTGTAAAACAAGCACTACTGCATGTTTTGAGGTAACAACTATGGAAACATTAAGCAGCAATAACCTATGGCAAAGTTCGAATACCCGATGAAGATTAACCAGCTGCTTTCGGCTCCAAAACGCAATTAATTAGAGGGCAATGCTCTTGGAAATGACATGTGAGGGAGCTTTTCTACTCTCTGTGCTCCTCTTGGCAGGTCTCGTCAAAAGCAATAAAGTAAGACTGACTGGTTGATGGTTTTAACCATCTTGAAAAATATTAGTCAATGGGAGGATTATCCCATATATCATATATCAATATCAATATATATATATATATATCATGGAAAATGACAAATGTTTGAAACCACCAACCAGAAGACTATCTTCTCGCCTTTGTGTTTTTTTTTAATATACGAACGTCAACAAGCATCAACTCACCTACACAGCCTGGCTCCCTTGGATTGGTGAAACACAGCCGGCCGTGCCCCGCTATGGAATAGTTTTTGTAAACCAAAAAAGCTGCGGGGCACAATAAATTGTAGTTGTATCATGTTGTATCATGTTGTATCCTCCATAAATTGAAGAGTTCTTAGAATCATGTATGGATCTTTCCTAAGTCATGCGGGTACCCCAAATCATCCAAGTCAGTAGTTAGACCATGCCATGGTGACTTGAAGGACTTAGGGATCGCCCATTTTAAGAAATCACCACATAAACCAACGGAAACCACGACGAAAGCGATCCCGGAATAAACCCCTGGGACGCATGACCCAGCCGTCGAGCGAAGGTCTCGAAATCATCGAGTAGCAACTGGTGCGACAATTTGGGCCTTGGGATGGTTCTAGTGGTAATTTAACATAGCTGTTGAAAATCACCATTTTTAATGGGAAAATCCACTATTTCTATGGCCATTTTCAATAGCTACGTTAAATTACCAGAGGGTAATCAATCCAATCCATAAGATTCCATAAGATTCCATAAGTATCCATAACAATCCCCTAAAAACCAGTCACTCAGAAATTCTAGGAATCGCATGATTAAAATCCATAACATTCCAGAAATTTCACACTCCAGTCTTTCGGAACCTGGGAATCACTAGTTGGTCCCAGGTCATGACAGGTCGCTCTTCAGAACACTGAAAAACCTGGAGGTCGGTTTTTAATACACAAACGAACGAAAAAAATTTACCAGGTTTACCAGGGTTTATACCATGAGAATCATGAGAATCATGAGAGAACACAAAAATTCAATACACAAACAGGCCTTAGTGAATAAGAAAAGAGAACGACTGTTGGATACATGTGGAGACATGCAGAAAATCCAACCCGTCGTTCCATAAATATGTGCCATCCAACATCCCAAGGGTCCCCTTGAGAAGCCACACAGGCCATCCGGTGACCTCAAAAAGGCATGCCTGGCGATTGCATGGAGCATGGATGATGCCTGGGGGTACCCCCCATTTTCGGAAACCCCCCAAATGATTGTGGTTGTGGTTGAGCCATGGTGGTAAATCATGGTTCTTAGCTGCAATAAGAACGATCATCAACAGATTTGGGATCTTTCCCCAGTAGGATGGGGCGTAGTGATAGGGATTTGCCCATCATAATTACATATAATTAATTACAAAAAAATTACTTTACTTCGTGTGATCCCCACCATGACATTTATACATTTTCTTACTGGCAAATCTTCTGGCATTCTATCTGACATATCTTCTGACATTCTATTTGGCATTCTATCTGGCATATCTTCTGGCATATGATTTTGCATATCTTCTGGCATATCTTCTGGCATTCTATCTGGCAAATCTTCTGGCATTCTATCTGGCATATCTTCTGGCATATATTCTGACATATCTTCTGGCATTCTATCTGACATATCTTCTGGCATATATTCTGACATATCTTCTGGCATATCTTCTGGCATATCTTCTGGCATATCTTCTGACATATCTATCTGCATATCTTCTGGCATATTTTCTGGCATTCTATCTGGCAAATCTTCTGGCATTCTATCTGGCATTCTATCTGGCATATCTTCTGGCATATTATCTGGCATTCTATCTGGCATATCTTCTGGCATATATCTGGCATATCTTCTGGCATTCTATCTGGCATTCTATGGCATTCTATCTGGCATATCTTCTGGCATATCTTCTGACATTCTTTCTGACATTCTTTCTACCTTTCTTCTGCACATTCTTTGTCCCATATCTTCCTACATGAGGTCCGGCAGGGAACACTTGGCGTGGATACTCGCGGTTGAGGTCCGGCAGGGAACACTGGGCGTGGATGGTCGTGGTTGAGGTCCGGCAGGGAACACTGGGCGAGGATGGTCGTGGTTGAGGTCCGGCAGGGAACATTGGGCGTGGATGGTCGTGGTTGAGGTCCGGCAGGGAACACTGGGCGTGGAGGGTCGTGGTTGAGGTCCGGCAGAGAACACTGTGGATCGCGGGTCGCAGTTGAGCAAGGACGACGAGGACGACGAGGACGACGAGGACGACGAGGAGGACGAGGAGGAGGAGGAGAGGAGGAGGAGGAGGAGAAGGAGGAGGAGGAGGAGGAGGCAACTGACATAAAATCTAACAACCCTCACCTGGCAGGTGGGGAACAAACGTCCCAACAAAAAACTTGTCAATTGGGATCATCATCGCTTGTAGGATGAAACAGAATGAATAGAGATTTGAAACCACCCTCAAAACCAGAGGATTTCAGTGGTTCCCCTTAGATTAAGAAACCTTGCAGTGGAACATCATCAAAAAACATCGATGATCAGATTATTGATGTTTATTGTACCCTCCAGTAAAATTAACATAGACCCTGGTAGATAGGGGTTGGAAGATTAGTTTCCTCTAAAAATTGGTGATTTTCAGGGTCTATGTTAATTTACCAGAGGGTAAATGGGAGCGCTTCCTTGTCTCATTGCCTCATCGCCACAGAGTCTTCCGGTTTTCCGTTGATTTGGATCTGACACCATCAAAAGCCAATCACCTATCAGCATCCATCACCCACCTGTGGCGTGCTGGCATAGGTACTGATACCTCGTCTTTCATTCAACTGATGATATTTCAAGTATTGTACCTAAATTGCAGGTACTGATACAGTACATCCACAATTCACTGGATGTGGACATTGTCATTCCTCTGAATTACAATAGCCCAGTTCAAGAACAAGCAGAATTCGCAGCTTGATGCAAATTGTAGCTATCTATGTCAAGTGCATGTTGATTTCACTCTTGTAGCAAGAAGTTAAAACCCTCAGGCTTCAAGAGCCTGTTAAACATGTCAACATGCAATGGAATGCATGTTGATTAGGATGGTTCAGGTTTCCGAATCTCGAACACGATATCATGTCCAAAACAAACTTGCAAAATTAGAATAGCAATTTTCGCACATTTCTACCCAACCCTTAAGCTTTTTTGGTTCTGGGTCAAAAGCTTGGTACCCTAAGGTACCCCAAAATAGCTAATGGATTTTGATTCCCCAACTATGGTAATTTCATAGATTTCGACCCATCCCATCCATCCCCAAGTCTTTGTTACCTTTGTTGAAACTCTTCTCCTTGGCGCGCCTCCTGAAACTTGACCAACTCACGCTGCCTGAAACTTGGCCTGAAACGGGAGCCATCACAGTGTTATATGTGGATCTTATGAATCTTATGATGTAAAATCTACCAATAAATTAACATAGGCACCACCAGATAGGGATTGGAAGATTAGTGTCCACCAAAATTTGGTGATTTTCAGGGTCTATGTTCATTTGCCAGAGGGTGCGCTGGTGTGCCATGTCAGTAAGGGCTTCAAAACATTGGATTGGTTAAACGGAAACACGCATGTACCAAACCATGGTGGCTAGCCTGAAAACTCGGGGATTGAGATAAACCAGTTCCGGGATGAATCGCAGTAGCTAGACTATGCCTAATATTCCTCAAAGTCCCATGAAGCCATGCAAACAGAAAAACAAGCTCCAAACAATTAAGACCAACATAGATCAACAATGAAAAGTAGATTAACATTAGTTGATACTGTTTTTAGTGACATAGCCAAATAATTCACATTTTTCGTGAAGACGACTCTTCCAAGGCCCGCCCTTGAAATTTGCCGTCGGCAAGGTGAACTTGGAGGTCCAGGCGCTGAAGCTGGCTGAAAGGCAGCACCCTTCCCTGGCAACGGACGGCCGGGTCTAGCTACGACGTAGATATAGTAATAATAATAGTTAATTGCACACAAACAGTGAAGATGCACATGAACTAAGTATTGATTTACTCTTCATTGGACTTCTCATATATCGTGGATCATCGTATGCCTATGACCTCGAGCTTCACTGCCATCCCGCCTGCCGGAAAACACCAAGGCCCAGTTGGACCCGACCCTTCATGCGGGATGTTCTAGCCTTACTCCAAGAACTCCAAACTAACTTGTCGAAACATTTCACAATGAAGCCACACACACAAATCAAAATGGTCGCAAGTTGGTTTACAGGTTAGAAAGGTTGGAAAGCACGGATGTCTCAGGAACATGGCAGTTTTAGCCTGCAGCAAATTAGACAAAAAACACGGATTGTGACTGCTACCTGCCACTGTATCCGATTTTTCTGTGTGCCGAGCAGAAATGGCTTCGTCGCCTGTAGTGGAATGACTTGCACAGGATGACTTGCAATGTACGGTTCATCGAACAAGGCAGGGATGGACAACCACAATATAGTGGACTATGCAGTATATTACTGTATTCGAATCCAACTATGCATACTAATGATATATAGTATAATACTATCCATATATAACAATAGAGTTAAAATCACCAACCACTCACTCTTCAGCACTGTGTAACCATGTTTAACCGCTCGCAAAAATTCAGTGTTACTGAGGTATGGGTGTTGTGCACCCACCTATAAACATGGATCTAAATCACTAGTGGACCTTGCTGAGGAATCCCATTTTCAGACAAACCCGTACGAACGAGTCTGTTAATGAAAACCCTCATATCTCATGGTTGATCAACATCTCCTCCATACTTCTCAAAGTGCAGTTCCCTAAAAACAAGTGGATATATATATATATTATATATATACATATTATATATACTGTATATGCTGACCATATATATATATAAATATGCTGACCATACATATATATATAGTATATATATATATGGTGTGTATATATATATATATATGGTGTGTATATATATATATATGGTGTGTATATATATATAAACATGGTGTATATATATATATACATATTTGGTGTATAGATATGGTGTATATATATATATATGCATAGTATACTATATTATACCCCAGTTATATCACTTCATGGGTGACATTTTTACCACGTGCCATATTCCCCTTCCACGACGCCAGCCGCGAAGCCGCGTCGCCCGTTACTTCACTTTGGCACAGCCGGCGCGTTGAGTCCAGGACTGCGGAGATCAAAAGGATGGGGGACCACGGAGTCTTGGAGGTGGATACACATTCTCTATGTATATCTATATATTATATACACAGAGATAGATAATGTATGTAGATGTATATGTGTACATGTATATATATATATAATTATATGTAGAGTTTATCTATCTGAGTTTAAGTATATCCACTTTGTTGGTGATGTTTGCTCGTTTTGAGAGGTGTGGATAGTTCTGTCTGAGTTTCAGTGATTCTATCTGTCAATGTGTTATTGTATATATGTAATGTTCATACAAACCATGACCTCCAGTTCTGGATTTAGACCCATCGTGCCCAACTAGCAACATATGCACATGAAATGTTGAGGATCAGATATGTCACTACACAGGAGACATTTTTCAACAGCCCTCGCACCATTATTATGTTTTGTTTTTGGTGGTCAACAAACCTGCTTAGGGTGGCTGACGCGCAGACACTTACAGCTGTGAATCTATTTGTGTTCAGCGTTGCAGTGTTGCACTTCCTTATGGTTTCATTATCACACACAGGGAGACCAAGTGTGATTAAACTAATCAAACCAGATTGGCAGATGTCAATATCAACATTTATCAAAACATAAGTGAACACAGTTCACTTATGACTACTTGTGGTTTCAGGGAGGAGCACGGGCCGGAGGGTTGTTACATTCTGGGGAGTCACATGGGCGTGGGCAAGTACCCAAAGATTCTCAACAAACTATTGCTATCATCTTCTGAGATGCTCAAATAAATCTCAGATCCACTGGGTGATGTTTCAAACAAGCGCGGTTCAAGTAAAGAGAAGCGTGCAAGGTCAGGCCCCCGACAGTACAAGTACTATTTGGTAATGTATGGTTTATCGAAAAAGAACACATATAGGTTACATAATCTCCACCATAGATCCAATCATTGATGGAACTATAAACCAAGTTGCTTGAACTTAAATCAAATACACACCTCATAATCATGGTCAATCTTTGGTAGTCCACTGTTTCTCTTTTGCTGGTTATGAATACTTTCCATTTATAGCAAAACCACAAAGGATTAACCTACCTATCCAGTTGGTTGAGGATGTAATGTTCTGCCATGTTTGGTGGTTTCATCCTCATGGTTCTATCTTAGGGTTCCCACATTCTACTCACATGTGGATCTAAACCTGGGAAGACATTCCATCGGCTAAGGAAAACATATTTCCCGATATAAAATAGCCACATGAGACTGTGTCCCATTTTCAGACACACCATGTGTTCACTCTCAATGCGTTTTCGGATACTGCAAGTGCTCCATTGTGTTTTTTAACGGATTGTTTGAAAATAGGGTTCCCAAAATGTCTTGGTTGATCATCAATCTTCCCCTTCATGTTCTTTTAAGGTTGCATCTTAAATCACAAAGTCAACTGAACCAATTTCAATAACTTCTGGTAATTCAAGATAGCTAGTAAACATGGCCATTTAGGTGGTTGATTTACCACACATGGTGATTTTGCTACACATTCCCTTGGGATTTTGCAACCTGGGCCCCAGGCCTGATCATGCCTGCCAAAGGATCCGTGCCTCTCCGTGGGGCCCCCAACCGATAGCTAAGCTGGGGCTTAAATAACTTGCTTACCTGAGTTGCCGGGTTTATGGCAGCAACTATCTCCAGGGATGAAATTATAAACCAACTAACGTAACTTGGGGGCCCCCCAGTTTAAGACGTCAAAGGGTTTCTGGGGCTCCCATATTTTACCATATTCCAGGTCTTCAATCAAAGCAATGGGAAATCCTCCGAACAAACGCCATGGAGCTTCCCCCTTGGAAAATCATCCAACTAAACAGATGATTTTCCAGCAAACCATGTCCCATGACTAAACAGGTGACAAAGGTATATTACCCTCTGGCAATTTAACATATCTATTGAACATGGCAATTTATAGTTGATTCACCCACAAAAAAATGTGATTTTCCGCAGCTAGGTTAGTTTACCAGAGGGTACATCATGTTTGTGGTAAACCCTAAATCCAATGCCGTAAACCATCCCAGTAACCTATACCATGGAGGTCCAAGCTGAATTATCATCCCAAATTGAGGGTTACCAAATAAGAACCCTCGAAAATCGGGGATGGTCTATAATTTACCACAGTGCTTTAACTATATAAATATATTTTAATGATGCAAGACTTTGGATGATAAGAGATAGCCTGAATGATCCTGGATGATCCTTACCATGATTGGGCTACTATATTTACTTGGATGAATTTTCATGTGCATCATAGGAATCGCACGTGCTGAAAAAAGGCTAGACAAAATCATTGATCAGTGGAAACACATCGAACTCAAAAGTAACTCGAATGACCTGCGGAGCAACCCGACCCAGTACTTAAGTATGCATACTTGGAACATTTGGAACAGATTTTACACCCATTTGGGGTTTAAACATGTTTCAAGCTCTATTTCTCAGACTCTATTCTATGAGTCCAGGGCATCATTCCTTATCCCCAGTTTACCAAGTGAACACACTACAGTTTAGGTGAACTATGTGTGAATTTTGTGGGTGAATTGAGGCTTGAGGGTCCAGGTATTCTGGTTGTAGGGTTTTCTGATATTTGTGTGGGTAATTGTTTAGCAGTACGTTGATAACAACATGTCGTGATAAAAAAAAAAACAACAACATCACCACTTTCCAGTTACCTTTCAGATAGGTCACCCAAAAATCATGTTCCGTAAAGTCACCTTCTAGTTATTATCTCCAAGGAAACTGGAAGGTTAGGGAAATACACATCAAATAATCAACAAATACCCTGTAAAAATCGTTGATTTACCAATGAAAAATAGTGATTTCCCATAGCTATGGTGGTTTCCCAGGAGTTAAAGGTCCACAACTCTGTCCTTGGGTCCTGCCTGGCACAGGTGGTGCTTGGCATAGCTCCGCCAAACCACTGCCCTCGCACAGCACAGCATGTGCCTCGGAGTTGCGTTGATGATATCTCCAAATGTCACATTTAAGGCTTTCTCTGAAAATGTTTGGTACCTCAAAATCCAATGGTTTATGATCATTGTCCCATTTATAAGGATTATTTTGAGGTATAGCCCATTTTAGACAACCATTGCTATCATATGGGGAAAATCATGGGGAAAATCCATTGGGAAAATGATGATTCACCTGCCATAAAGTCATGGGATAGGAGTGGGATAGTCCAATGGTTGGTTTCATGGTACAATCCCAATATTCCAATGGAACATAGTGGTAATATCAATTGGTAATGATAATTATCTGCATTATATTCCATATCATTTATAAATAGTCCATGGATAAACATTGATAATGATATTCCAATTAGTAATGTTGGAATTCCAATGGAATATAATGCGGATAATGGGAAACCCATTTGGGGATGGTTTATGCAACCCAGTTATGGTGATTTTGGGGATGGTTTATTTTTGGTACAATACACATGATACTTGCTGGTTTATAGAGGTTCCCACAATGGGTTATGATAAACCCTACATAAGTAGATAGGAGGTAGTCTAGTAAAAAAAAAAACTGTGAATTGATATTTTGGGAATTGCTCAATATGATCATGGGGGTACAACCAACGAATCATGCAGACATACCCTCTATTGCGCTCTATTAATGGATTGTTCTGCAAAATTCACCTATAAAATGATGAACCAACATTAACCATTAACCAACATGACATGTGTCCCGATCTTTTGGGGAATCCCCATGTGATGTTCCTCATCTACGGGGATATGGTGAAGTTCTTGGAATTCAGAACGGGCAAAAAAATGTGGAGATGCTGGGATCTTCAACCAGAAACATGGAGAAACGTCAGTGACCTCAGTGTCTGTGGATATGTTATTTATTGTACCCACACGTCCTTCGATGAAGAATACCGAATAATATTTGATAATAGTGAAGATATCAGAAAATGACGTGAGGCTCTCTGGATCAGAAAACAGCACCACCGCCACCACCACCACCAACAACAACAACGACAACAACGACAACAACGACAACAACAACAACAACAACGACAACGACAACGACAACGACAACGACAACGACAACGACAACGACAACAACAACAACAACAAACGCAACCTGTACTGGGAACTATACCCCTGTCCTACAATTGTTGTCCCATCATACAGGCTCGGCTTAAAATGCAGTGAACAAGTGGTTGTGTGGTTTCCACTCTCCTGATGAATCTTCGACCATTCTGGCTCACAGCAAGGAGGGATGGAATTGAGTGTACACCATCGCGCGCCAACCGTTCTATCAGAGAATGCAGAGACATTTTTTCTGAGAACTTGCTCTAACTTCCACCATTCACTTCTTTCAGTGTTGGATACCCTCTGGTTATTTAACATAGCCATGGTATAGATGGCCCAAAGAAATAGATGGTTTACCTGGGTTTACCTATTAAAAAAGGTGATTTTCCATGGCGAACTGTTAGTCATAACCAGATGGTTCACTGTGCCATCCGTTTCACGCCGCCATTTTGCAACTGCCAAGTCACACGTCGAAATTCCTCTCTAAGGCGTGTGAACAGACGCACCTAACAGGCGCACGTTGAACGTGTCTGAAAATTGGGAATGCACCCGAAATTGCAGTTCAATGGGAACACTCATTATTTATCAGTGAATTTAGCAAAGCCCAATTCTGGGAACAAGAAATTGCAGTTCCATGGGGGAAAGGCATACATGTAGACAGTCAATATTCCGATTGTAATTTCACGCTGACAGTCTGCAAAACAAACCAGACTCCATCTGGCAAAACAAGACCACATACACTGGAGTTTGCACATACTGACAGCAGGTTAGACTTATATTTAACATATAGTTTGTGTATATAACTAGACTATATATACAATATACTATACAATTATACATACATGAACACGTATTATATACATAGTTGTATATACAACCAAAATTAGAAATGTAGTGTATTTATATGTAGCTTAGACATATGACTACTGTGCATATTAACTATACATTTATAATCAATTATAGACATATATTTGTACATATATATATATACAATATATGTATAGATATATATGATTTATATATATATACAAAACAGTTCACACAAAATATATCGATGATCAAACTGCTTCAAGGTCAGTACCTTTGAAGAGGCCTCGATGTTAGCCACATCTTTGCCAGGTTCAAAGGGGTTGTCCACAACGAAAAAGGATTGACCTCAAGGGCGACATGAGAAAGTTACGTCATGACCAAGTTCTCTCCATGGATCTAGCCTGCTGACATTTGTTCAAAGTATCCAGTAGTTCAATATACTATAACAGGGTTAAGTTTCGAGTTTCAAACTACTGCTGTTAATCTTGAATCGTCTGTTTTGCGTTGGATAATCACAAATGTTCGTTCTATTCCTGCAGGCTAAACATATCTACGCATGAAAAATAAGCTACCAAGGTTCACCCAATTCCCAGCCGTGGGTCAAGCAGTAGAAGTTTCCTATAGAGTGATACATCTTCATTAATCAACTATACTGGTTGGTGGTGCAATAACCATCTTGAAACATATTAATCAATGGGAAGAAAATCACATCCCATATATGAAATGGTAAATAAAAAATGTTCCAACCCACCAACCAGTGATTATTAACCATTATTAACCATCATTAACCATCATTATCCCATACTAAACCAATGTTCCAAACCACCAACCAGCTTCAAGTCCCCGGTTTTTCTGCGTCCCGGGACGTCCTTCGAACTTCATCGTGAAGCTGGATGTGTCACGAATGGCGATCGCTCCACAGTCATAGACCTCGAGATCACTGGCTTGGAGTCGATTTCGGTGTCACGGCTGATACGGCTGATACGGTAAACCCAAGAGTGTTCGTAAAGCAATAAGCTAAGCACAAAACATATTTTGATGGAAAAAACCACCCATCTATGGTAAAATTGTGGATATTTGGGAATGGTTTACTATTGCTTTACTATATTAATATGTTATAATTTATGTATTAATAAACACTCCCGAGCAATCAGCGGGGCCATATATAGCATGGTAAAATTGGGGGCCATATTTGGGGCAAATTTTGGTTCATCCCACGAAGGGTTAGGCATGGTTAGGCCATGAAGGTTAGAAGTGGATTATAATTATAACCCTACTTATCCCACGATTCGAACCAGATAGTAACAACAAATAACAACAGTTGATCAAAGATAATCATAATAATAGCTGGGGGTTTCCATAAATGGGGGATCCCCTTTTTGCTGGTTGGTTTAGAATCAAAACCTAAATGGATGACTTCGGGGGTACTGGCCCAAGGTGTGGCCAAAGGGCCATGGCTTAAAAAAAGGCCCTTTAAGCTCCTGGGTCGACATCTTCAACATTTCTTGGTCCAAAAGCATCAATTTTGTGTCTCTTGCAGCATTTAGCCATCATATGAATCATATTAGTGTTTTTTTCTTTCTACCCCAGTTTGATCCATACATCCATAGGTTCTGGGGTAAAAACACAGCCCAACTTATGAGGGCAAGAATTATACCCATCATTTTCCGCACTTGGATTGCTGGTCATTGATGGGTATTGTGTAATCTTCATGTTTCTCACTAATGCCACTGCAATCCGTTGAAAATCAGGTCGCTGACACTGACCTGAAATAAGGTACTTCTGGAGATCATTTCCTTAAGAATCTGACAACGTGGTGAGGTCAATATAATTGGCCCCGTGTATCTGGGCAAATTATGATCATTCACCTCAGTTCGGCTATATTGGGATAATTCCCTGAATCCAATTATCCAATTCCCATGATTCCAAGGAGAGCAGTGAGGTCGTTTTTACGCAGATCATCGCAGATCTATCAATTGTCATTGCCTCATCCATCGTCGTTTCGCTGAGGCACATAACCATAGTAGCGGAAGAACTCCAGAAACAGTTCGCCCAGGCTTTCCTGCGCCGCGCTTTGAATTGCTTGCGTCACCGATGCTTGATGAAACTTCCATGTTCATTTGTAAAACTCTATGTATTCGTGAATGATATCCGATATCCCTGTGTCGGAATCTTTGGAAACTCAAGCTCCTCCCTGTACAAATCCAAGGTTTACCTCTTAATTTTCTGCAGGAAAACTGACCTTCAGCAGCATACAACATAAGATAAGACAAACAATGACCTACCCTGCTGTTCAGCAGTCGGTACACCCACTTGATATCTAAGTTGGCTGATTGTTCCCAGATTTACCCAGTTAAGTCTCCATTCTCAGCTATGAAATCCCAACTTTCAACGGATGGGTCTGGGCTTGATCATTTTCCGTACTTGGATTGCTGGTCATTGATGGGTTCCAAACATGGTGTAATCTTCATGTTTCTCAGTAATGATCCACTGCAATCCGTTGAAATCAGGTCACTGACCTGAAATAATGTACTTCTGGAGATCGTTTCCTTAAAAATCTGACAACGTGGTGAGGTCAATATAATTCACCTAGATTACTCCCATCATATCCTGATTGTGTCCCATATTAATCCATATTGTACCACCATTCTTGTGGTAAAACCCTCATTTTTGATAGTTGAACTGAGTGGTGAAAACTCCAGACTATTCTGGGTAAGTTGTAAAATGCCACTAACCTGAAGGCTTAAGGCGTGTTCATGATGAATCCCCAAATCCAATTCCCATGATTTCAGGCTTCGGTCACAGTGAGGTCACTATAATTCGCCCAGATTAATCCACATGGAGGTTTCTCAAAATGGTGCTACCCCCAAATCATCCAAGTCATTAGCCCAATTTACCCTCTGGTAATTTAACATAGCTATTGAAAATTGCCATTTACAGTTGATTTTCCCATTAAAAAAGGTGATTTTCCATAGTTATGTTAGTTTACCAGAGGGTAATCCATTTTAGATCATTTAAGTATTGAAACAACCATGGTTTTACCATGGGATCCCCCATGACCCATGAACCCCCCAGGAATCAACTGCCTCGCCTTGTTGGGTGCAAGAGATGCACGACTTAGCGACAGATCGCCTCAGAATCCGAAACTTCAGAATGGGTTGGTTTCTGTTGGGAGAATCTACAGGAAAAACGATTGGTTTTAATGGATTTGTAGGAGGGAAACCATGAAAAATAGGAGTTTAACCAACAATCATCTGTTAATCATCTTTTCAATGGATTGGTTTTGTTGGGAAATTTTACAGGAAAACCTATGATTTTGTTCTCCTATCAAAGTGTCCTGTAACGAAACCAATCAAATGAGAGATGATGAACGAAATCGCGATCGATTACTATCTGATTGGTGGTTCCAACCCATCCCAAGAATATGACTGGATATCATCATCCCATCTATGGTTAAACATAGCTAATATTTGAAACCACCAAAACAGTTTTGGAATGTGGATTGATATTTAAATTATCTATATATAATTCTTTGATATGGAAAAACAATGGAACACGTGTTAAAATTATCTATGTGTCTGTTAATAGGTAAGATGTTTGATAACTTTTGCTGAAAAACGGACGTGCGTCCTAGTTACTTACTTGGGACCTGGATATTAACCTCACCAAGTGGAACTCAGGGCTCATGGTGTTGACAAGTTATGAACCATCCATTTGTCAGTTGTGATCATCATCCAGCTAAAGATGCAAAACAAAAAGTAAGAAATTGAAACCACCAATGAAACAAGACTGAAACGTGCCAACATTCACCAATCAGAACCGAACTTTCAGTTCACGTTTCTCTGTACACACCTAACATGTCGCATGTCCTAGGGGGCAATTTGAGGTGGTAAAAAACCTCCATACTTGGTGGTACTACAATGGCTTCCTGCATGTGTTCGTGCCCTTCCACCAACCTGATGAGCAAATCAAGCGGAGAAAATACCATTCTAGCCCTACCTCACTCATTCCCAATAGTCCACCCTACTTTTGCCATCGTTTGCCCAAATCTCCCCGTGTTTTAATACGCAAATAGCAAACATTGCACACATGGCAATGATAGGAACATGATCATATTTTGATCTTCCTGCTGCCACTGCCGCCAGGTTGCTACAGAAACGACAATCGGCACCTGAACACCAAGGGCTACTGCGGCTACTGATGCCTTCCTGGGGTTATGAATTAAATTATAACCAAAAAACAGGTTCTGCTGCTGTGCTCATCAACAATTATGATGTCTATATAAGGGCAATTTGTCCAATTTGTAGTTGAGCCATTCATTAGAGCAGTATGGTGCCAGCAAGTTTTGGGGCCATTTAACAGCGATCAACTGTGAAACACAACACAATTTGGTGTTTGAAACCATCCTGACAGTGGTAAGGGCCGCTGAAACTACCAAGTTTGGTGCATGTAAATGGTCGACGCATGTTGACGCGGGCATTGCAAGTTTTTCATCAGTTTGAATTATATACAGTTTATACACTGTATTTTGAAGAGGAATTGAAAATATTGCAGTAAAATCCTCAACTCTCCAAACCCATTGGTGATTGTGCAACCAGTCTATGGACACTATGGGCCCTCGACAGACCGGGAATGCACGTGAACATGTACTCACTTGAAGATATGCTTCATGATATTTGGGAGTAAACGCCGTTCAACATTTTTGAAACAACCAGAGTAGGTGGAGTGCACAACAACTCAAAAAATCCTTGAAGGCAGGAAATGGACATCAACTGGGATGCGGCTTGGATCATGTAATTGCAACCCAAAGCAAGGTGCAGCCCACGAACCCGAATGCAGTCACGTAGAACACTTTTGTAAAACAAGTTATTTGAACAGTCTTGTACATTTTTGCCCTCTTACCGTACCAGTGCACTGTAGACTGTGCATGCGGAAGAGGGTAGAGTGGAAAGTGTGGAGTGTGGAGTGCGGAGTGTAAAGTGTAGAGTGTGGAGTGTAAAGTGTGGAGTGTGGAGTGTAGAGTGTGGAGTGTAGAGTGTGGAGTGCAAAGTGTGGTGTAAAGTGTAAAGTGTGGAGTGTGGAGTATGAAGTGAGGAGTGTCAAGTGTGGAGTGTAAAGTGTGGAGTGTAGAGTGTAGAGTGTGGAGTGTAAAGTTTAAAGTTTAAAGGTGGAGTGTGGAGTGTGGAGTGTAAAGTCTAAAGTGTAGAGCGGGCAACGCATAACACATCTGAAGTGCTGCGCCTGCCACGCAAATGACGACGCAGGTCTCCAAAGTGCTGCGCCTGCCACGAAAAATGCAACTCATCTTCTGAAAATGACGCAAAAGATCGCAAAAGTATTGCGCCTACCACACAAAAGGATTTTCGACACGTTTGCAGACACGTGATAATGTCAGGAAGTGCCACGCCTGCCACGCAAAACGACACTACAACTTGCTTTGACACCTTCGAAAAGGAAAGGTTTTGCAGCTTCCCCCATAGACACGGCGAGGCCACAGGAAAACCAGCTACTCGAGACGAGACATGTTGGAGCATCAGAGCATTTCGTACGACTTCCTCCAATTTTGGCACTAGTGAGGGCCCAATCTAAGGGGACGCAGTTCTGGTGGGAACGCGGGATGGATGCCTTTTTTGCTTCGCGGAAGCACTTAGAAGCTGCATGGGCTTCTTAGAAGGGTTTTGCTTCTTAGAAGCAGCCTCTTAGAAGTAGAGGCCTTCTTAGAAGATAAGTTTTCTTTTTGATTTAAATTGTATGTTTAGCTTCTTAGAACCCTTCTGCTTCTAAGAGCTTCTAAGTGGCAAAATTCATCTTTTCAGCTTCGAAGAAGCCCCCCCGGAATCCATCCAGACTTGCATCCCCCTACATCAGCCCCTGAACTAGCTTCAAAATCGACGTTTTCCTACGAGCTTTCTTATGAGCCTCAGAATTTACTACCTTAAAATCAATGTTTCGTGCGAAGCTTCTGTCAATTTTCAGCACATGCCACGCTTGCTATGGAATTTGCACGTTGCCACCGCTTCACACGCCCTGACAATGCGATTCGCAAAAACATGCAAACCGACACGTCTGAAGTGCTGCGCCTGCCACGCGACATGACGACGCAGGTCTCCAAAGTGCTGCGCCTGCCACAAAACATGCAACTCATCGTCTGAAAACGTCGCAAAAGTATTGCGGCAGCCACACAAAACGACTTTTGTCACGTTATGAAACATGTCTGAATGTCACAAAGCGCCACGCCTGCCACGCGAAACGAAGCTACGCGACGTTTGAAACCTCCAAAAGCGACCCCTTTTGCAGAACTCGCCATAGGCATGGCCATACGGGCCTCGCGCGGACGATTGCGGACGGTTGCAAACAGTTGCGGTCGGTTGCGAACGACCCGGTTGCGCAACGTCGAGCGAACACACCCTCAACCCCCAGACCCCCACAGTGAAACGAGAACCCTTGCTACGCATTCGGGAAAAAGCAGATGGATCCCCAAACAATGGCCATTTGCAACAATAAAACACTTGTTTAAGATCCCAATCTTTGAAAAAACATCAGGCCTTTTTTCCGACTTCACCCAGGAAGCCCACCTTGGAGGAATAAGGGGGGCATCTTCTGCTGAATCGCGAGGTCCTGCCGGCTGACAAACATCTCAAGGTATCAGAAGATATATTTGCGGGGATGGCCCTGAAAGGATGCTGTTACACTTTCAAGATGCTTTCACACGTTCAAGATCCTCACTCGATCATTGAAGTCAGGTATAATGGCACCAGTAGTACCGCACAAGGCGGTGGCGGAAGTTTCAAAAATAGGAAGCCTATAGGAAAGGTTGGTTTTTGCGACTCACGGATTGCAGAGCGAATCCACTGATGGACCGAAAGGTGGTTGGAGTTGTTTTCCGGAGTGGTTGCAATGGTTGCAATGGTTGCAGTGGTCACCTCACCACAACTACTGGATGTAGTGTGGTGTAGTGCATTGTAGTTCCAGTTGTAGTTGTAGTTGTAGTTGTAGGTGTAGTTGTAGTGTAGTGGAGTTGTAGTTGTAAGTTGTAGTTGTAATGTAATGTAATTACTGTAGTGTAGTTGCAGTTGTAGTTGTGGTGTGGTGTAATTAGTGTAGTGTACTGTAGTTTTGTGTACTGTGGCGTGGTATAGTGTAGTGTAGTCTAGTGTATTGTAGCATAAAGTAGTGTAGATGTAGTTGTAGTGTAGTGTCGTGTAGTGCTATGTAGTGGTAATTGCAGATGTAGTGTAATGCAATGTAATTAGTGTAGTGTAGTGTTGTGTAATGTAGTGTAGTTGTAGCTGTAGCTGGAGTGTACTGCAGTTTAATTGGTGTATTGTAGCGTAATGTAGTGTAGCTGTAATTGTAGTTGTAGCTGTGGTGGTGGTGGTAGTGGTAGTAGTAGTGGTGGTAGTAGTAAGTAG